TTTTGTAAAATGTTACGTGCAGAAGATTGTTAGCTAATTCGCCCAAACTGAGCAGTGGACTTCTCATCAAATCCAGGTACGTGTCTGCCTTAGAGGGACTCCTCAGGGCAAAGACCAGAAAGGGGAAGTCAAAGCTGACAGCTGCGGCACAACTCAGCATGCATGTTTTGTCCTTTACTGTGGAGAAATGGATAGCAGTGGCCATTCACCAGCAGCCAAGTGCTCTGGCACACCCCACACTCTGGTTGCCACATGGATGGCCTGCTGTGCGACATGGAAAAGGCCGCTTTCCAGTTGAGGTGTACAGCACCAGGGTCCTCCCAACACAAGCATGAACTGTACTTCTAGAAAAGCAGCTTCCACAGCATGGGAGTCTCCGACTTCACAGGATGGCTGAGATTGGAGAGAACCCCTGGAAGGCATTTGGTCCAACACTTTGCTCAAGCAGGACCACCTATATCCACTTGCACTGGATACAGGTAAGCTCTCTTTTGCCACATATGAGCTTCTGTCTCCTGATCTCTTCTGCACCTCTTGACCTCTCCACAGCTACCACAACAATGAGGATGCCAAGTGTGTACACAAATACTCTAACATGCTTTAGAAATACACACTCCCACCCATGGCACTGGGTAGGACAGAACAGAGATAAAAGGTTCTGAACTATGTAGACAGAGCAGTTCCACATGGAAGGATATATCAAATGAGCTTGGCAGGTCTCAGCTCCATCTCCAAGAGAAGTGTATGAAGCTGATCCTGAGGGGCCACCCAAGCCTTACAGCTCATTCAGTCTAGACTCCCTCTTAGACACCACAGAAACATCAAAGCTCAGGAAGATTACTTTGTCCTGGCATTGACCAGAATAGTCAAGCAGCAACAGGGTGTGAAAGGGCACTTACATCCACACCCACATCTGCAGCAGTGGACATGTGCTGCCATGCTAGACCTCTGTGCCAAAACCAGCTGGTGCCAAATGGCATTCCCACTGGCAAGAGGAATGAAGATGTAAGAGCAGGTGAATGCCTGGACTAGCCTGCCAATACAAAATCAGGGTATGGCATGGTGCCTAAGTGATGGCAGAGCCATGGCAAGATTGTGCCAAGGCAAAGGAAGTCACCAGCACGCTGAATTAGTGCTACAAGAGGAGCAAAAAGCACAGTGTTACGAGGCTCTGGGATAAGTCTGGCCACGGGGAACAGTGCTGGGATGGATTCTTTCAGCACTACAGAGTCAGCCTCAACAGATGGATGAGGTTCAAGGGCAACCACATAGGCCTGAAGCAGTCTCAGTTCTGCTTCTGCAGCCAGGAAAACAGCAGATGATGACAACAGCAAACACCTTGCCAGTGACATCCTAAGATGACCTTCTTGGGATTAAAACTACACAAAAGCCTTACAAAGAATGGAGGCCAAAGAAAGCTTTGCATCACTTCTCTGAGAGTGAAAATTGGGAGCTTTGCCACGCCCTGTACAAACTTGTAGGAGAGGTAGCAAAGGAACCTTCAGGTACAAGAACACCTCTGAAATAATTCAAATACCTGGAACTGAGTTTAAAAAAATTATTCAATCCCTGCAAGCGGCAAAAAGACAAAAAAGAAATCTTTGGTAAGGGAAATGCATCCAAATAGGGCAAGAAATTAGTTTAAGCAGCAAGACAAAAAATGAAGGAGCAGATTGAAACTTGATACAGCAGCTGAGCTGAAACAGTCGCAGGTGAATGCCTCATTCCACAGCCTGTTCCAAGGAGAAGGAAGAAGAAAAAAGGAGACAAAAGTACACCTTGGGCAGATACTTCAAGTACACAACTGCCAACTTTTATAGAAGGATACAGTGCATCACAGCAGCAGCACGTACACATGGAATTTCATGAAGAAAAGGAAATTACTATCAACATTTTTATTAATATTTGAGGACACAATCCTTCATCGTAATTTCTGAAATAATTCAAGTTCCAGATAAGTGCCAAAAAAAAAAGAGTGGACATTTAAGCAAATTTTTAGCCCATGCTAAGCCAAATTAATTAAGAGAGGTGTTGTACTACATTAGCATCACAGTTCAATGGAAATGACCAGAGGGACACAGGAGGTCTGGGGCATGCACCTCATTTGCAGCCCTCAGCATCTCACCACAGATTAACTTTGCAAGCTTAAGTAGTCCTTCAGAAGAGAATCTAAATCATTTTCAGTAAAAACAGTTCTCCTATTCTCCTAGTCCCTCCTCCTTTTTTCCATCAAAAACTACAAGTATGTCATGCAGCATTGTGTGCAGGACTGTGGTGGGTTGACCCCTGGCTGGATGCCAGGTGCCCACCAAAGCTGCTCAGACGGATGGCGGGGGTGGGGGGGGGGGGAACATAACAAAAGGCTCCTGGGATGAGATGAGGACAGGGAGAGATCACTCACTCAATTACGGTCACAGGATACAGGGGAATGTCAAGCTCCAGTGCTGGGAACACCTCCTCCCTCTCCTGCACTGAACCTGGGTGTCTGCAGGGCTGTTTTTCTCACATATTCTCACTCCTCTCTTCTCTGTCCATAATTACTTCTGCACAGTACCTTTTTTTCTTTCTTAAATGATATCACAGAGGCGCTACCACCCTCTCTGACTGCCTTGGCCTTGGCCAGTGGCGGGTCTGCACTGGGGACAGTTGGCATTGTCTCTGCTGGACATGAGGGAAGCTTCTGGCAGTTTCTCACAGAAGCCCCCCCAGTAGCACCCCCACCACCACCTCCAAACTACCTGGCCATGCAAACCCAATACAAGGAATGTAAGCAACAGAACCATTTCATGACAAAGTAATGATTTTTGTGAACTTCAGTGGGGTGAGCAAATGAACAAAATGAAGCTATTCTAAATTCTGATAGTTCACTCAATGTAATTTTTTTGAAAATTGTGTTTGAAAAGTTAACCAGGATGTTAACATGGACTCAGTATGCCACAAAATGAAAAGGCAAACAAAGAAAACATTTGAAGTAAGTTTATCTGTAAAACACAGCGGGGTTTTTTCACTACCTAAAATACTGTTCAAGTATGGGAGCTGTGTTCTAATTTGTTCCTGCAGCGACCTCTCTACTTTACCTCAGAATTACCTTAAAAGTGCACAGTAAAGCTTAGTTGCTCATCAGGCAAATGTCTGCTTCTACTAATAAGAAAAATCAGCCATAATAAAAGGCAGACAGCATTTGCTGGATGCAAAAATTTCTCTGCAATTATCACTTAATTGTCCTTCATGGGCCAGTGCTGGGAGTCTCATACTTTCCCCTTAAGGTTGCTCCCTTCTTCAGCACTTTTCTTAACTGTCTACTTAATTACTCTTCTTTCCTGGACTTAATTGTAAATTTGTTTTGATTAATTAGCCTCTGAGCTGACTTGGCACTAACTGAAATATAGGAGAACTACTCAGTTTCTTCAGTGTATAGGCTACTGCATCCTAGGGGAGCTCCCTCTTCGTCAGCAATAAAATTTCAAGTTCAGATTGTGTTTGAAAAAAACTTTTTCATAATTAACTTTCATTTCTTGGAATTACTCCCACTGTACTACAACACAAAAATGTTGCTAATGTAAAGAAAGGATAAACTTCAGTAAGTTCAGGCCTCTTTTTCAGTGGATTATACATCATGTTCATTAGCTGAATGCTGTAATTTTAGAGAAGATGACATAATGATCTTAAACCAAACTAATCATATCACTATTAGAATTCCAAACCAAGAGTGTAGGTTACCAGTACAGACAGCTGTGTCCTCATGGCACCAACACCAGAAACCCTTACCCATACCCATCTCTTTCCAAAGTTATTGAGTTTCATTGAAAACCCTTTGCATAACCTAGTCTGCAAGACTTTTGGACACTAATACAGCTCTTCATTATGTTTACACCTCTCATATCACTCCTTTCCTCTCCCTCTTTATGGCATGTTGATTCCAGTAGATACCCACACAGCATTATCATGCATCTGCCATCTTGATCAATTCTCATTTCAGTTACTGTTACTGAAAACTCAGGAAAAGGCAACTTTAAACACCAGGACAATGAAAAAATTTAATAAGATAAATGAAATAATGTGTGTTAACAGCTATTGCAGCCACTTAACAAACTTCCTAAATACTAGTCAAGAGTACTGGAATTCTTCAGTTTTCAAATTTAAAAGTCCTTAGCTATCAAGATGCAAAGAGAAGTTAAAAGTCTTATTCTGGACATTAATATTTTTTCCTGTGAATATTTTCAGATTTGTATCTCAACTGAACAGTTAGACTGACAAAGCAAACACTTGCTTCTTCCAGCTCCTTGTTTCAATCATTGTTCCTCTTGTGTTCCACACAAGAGACGACTGCAGAAGTGCAAAGTACATGTGGTTTTACAACCTTTGTGTGCACCTTTACTTAGGCACAAAAGTTTAACTGAAGCAGATCGGAACAGGAGCTTTGTGGGTGGGCTTAAGGACATAGGGCAGCTCTGGAGGCACATCTTTTAATGTATTCCTTCCCTAATAATCTGCAGCTGACTGTTTTGACTGATGATCAACCACTGCTTTCATTGTAGAATTGACCCATAGGAATCACTTTGGTTGTCAAATCCTAAATGGAGCTCGTCCATGCAATCTGAGAAAACTTTGGCTTTGAGATCTCTTCTGAATGCATTTGTGAACATCCATGAAGTGACAGGATATTCTGTAAAGGAAATGTACCAGCTTGGAAAGATTAAGATATTCAATTACAACAGCTGTCAATACCACTAAAGAGGCATGGTCCATGCTTTTCAGTTAGATGTATTATCTGCAATCAATCACCACTTAAAGTAAATCCTGTATTACAAAAGACATCATGCAGAGTCTATACATCAGTAAAAATGTAAGAAATATTCCTTCGTGCTGAAATGCCTTTTCAGCTGTTATGAAATGAGGAAATAGCTCTTTAGGTTTATTGTATTCTCCAAATGTTAATTTAAAATCATCTGCAGATAACCAATTTAGCTGTGCACTTGAAAAACAGAAGAAGATGTATATGTGCCTCAACAGTTTGTTTTATTGGTCCTGTTCATTTTTTTCTGTAATTACTCAGCTCACAATCTCCTATTTTATGTTTACAGAGTTGTACAAATATGGATGTGCATACATATCTGACATTTCTGCAATCATTCTTCTGCTGCTTTAAGATGCAAAAAGCTTTGTTTAGTAAAACAGGAACAGCCTTCTAACCAAACGGAACTACAAAAAGATAGATCTGCAAAAGAACATACTAACCTGTAATTTTTTCAAAGGGAGCCAAAGCCTTCAAAACTCTGATGTTTTATTGTGGTGGGACTTCTCAGTTAAGCATCTTAAAACAAGTCTCTGGATGTTACCACAGTACCTACTACAGAACACATGTACCTACTAACATGAAGCTGAAATATGTGACTTGGCTTTTGTTTCCAGCTCTCTCAATTACTGTTGACAGAAAGCAATGAATTAATATACTAAAACAGGGATATCCTCCAGGATATTACTATGCATCCTCCAGGAACAGTGTGTATATCTCACAGTTAGCAGAAAAGGCTATGTCTCTTACACAACAATGCTCCCAACTTCACTCCACCACAGGTAACACTGGCTAACCAATGTCAGCCTAGCTCAACAAAAACCCGGCTAAACCACAGTAGACAGTGGAAGTGAGATTACTCAGCAGAGTAGAAAATATGCTTGTAAAAAGAATCACACATAAGCAGGAAGAAGAATGCGAACTTCTCACGTTTTGGAAAAGGCTTTTTTATTTACAATATCCAATTTGGCCTGATGTACACAAAAATGGAGCCAAAACAAGACCAGGCAGAGGTGAAACATCAGCTGCTGCTTCTGACTAGCAACTGATTACTGATTGACATGCTGCAGAGCTCAGCAGCCATAGAAGTCCTGGAACTCTGAAGATCCTCTTGCACCTCCCCACACTATATTCAGGCTAATGACACAGAAGTAAATTTCATACAAGTGTCCAGTTGAAGAAAAAAAATTAAAATGTAATCCAGGTCAACAGCAAACAACCTAGCTCAACTCAACAACTCCTGCAGTGCACTAATGATTTAAAAAACAATTTTGAGAAAGTGGCTGCAACTAGTACAACATCCATGCTAACAGAATGAACCTAGCAACATTTAGTACCAAGTCCTACTGTTAATGGCAACTGATTTACATCTCCTTGCAACAGAATTCAACTGAATTTATCTCCACCTGTAACACACTTCTTCCTCCCTTTCAAAAACCAGACCCCGATGGAACACAGAGGCCAGCAAAGGACAAACAACTGTGCTTGAAGCCCCATCTACTGACGAACAGTAGAAGTGTTGCTAAGCTACAGCAATATTTCAGAGAACATCCCTTGGCACAACTGGTATTGCTTCTTAAAAAAGAAGTAAAACACAAACAATTTGAGATGTGATCCAACTACAAAATGTTCTCTTCGAATCACACAGGACATCTCTCCCAAGAAACCAACTAGTCAGAAAGCAACAAACCCATCCAGACTAAAAAGTGACATACTTTACGAAATCCACCCTATTCTGTTGACACTCCTAGATACAGAATCAGGAAAACACAAACAGGCATGCTGACCTCAAACCTGCATTTGAACACCTGCACTTTCCAGCCTGTGTCAGGAAAAGGTCTGCACATTACTTCTGCCTAAGGAAGCATCCCAAGGGACATATTTCTCACCATTTACTCTTGACCCAAAAGAAAATCGACTCAAAACCTTGCTGCAGAGTGCCAGTACAGTGCAGTGGGGTAGGATACATCACTGCCTGATATGAGAAGGGTAACGTATCACTTCTCATCTGAGTCCACAAAATGAAAACACATCACTGGCAAGCAACAGTCTGCTGAGTTCTGTCACAGTATCATCCATGCTTTCCTTTAGGGCCATGAGCTCCCTAGTCCATACACGTTCACTAAACCCTTAACAAAGTATCTATCCTTCTGCTACTCAATCTGCAGACAGGTAACACTGAAGAAAACTCGCAGAATATTTTCATTCTAAACTCCCTGGCCTTTAACACAACTGCAAAGTTTTCTTGTTCTGACTTTCAACTGGAATCAATGAGCTGCTGGGATGAGAGACCATCACATCCATGGCCTGACTATGGGGAGACGTGCTTGGGTTAGAAGCAGAGACTTGGGTTTAATGCTGGTCCTCTACTCGTTTTCCAAGTGGCAAAGTCCCAGACCTCTGCAGGCCTGAGGAGTTGAAAGATTTAAAAACTAAATATTTTAGTGGGTGGGATCCCTTAAAGCAGTGGAGACAGCATATATGCCCGTCTGGTAGCTGGTATGGCTCCAACACAGAAAGGACAGTATTTGAATCTTTCTGACCTTGAAGAGACCATCTCAAGTGCAAAATTCAGAAAAGCTGTCAACATCAAACTCGTATTTAGTAACTAAATTTTTTTTTTTATTTTAACTCAAACTGCTTACAAAAGTTGAAGCTGGGAAAAAAGTTCCTTCTGTGTAGTCTGAACTCTGATACAAACAGTTCATATCAAGACAGAGGCAGAACTAAATGGCAAAAGGCATGTTCCTATTTCATCTTCCCAGTTACATGTGACCCAGCCATGAATGAAAAGATGTCACATAACCTCAACCAAGTATTTCCACTGTCAGTATGCCCTAGCTATAGGAACTACTCCTTGAAAGAGAATGACAAAAACTATTATCTCAAACTTCCCAATCTAAAGGATCTTTCACAGAAGCATGGCAACTTTGGTGTCCAAGCCCTTTCACAGACACACAAAGTTAGCTGGCAGCTGAAAGCCAATTCATTTTTCCTACTTTAATGTATACTCTAGATTTAGCATAAAGATCATGGCCAAAATCGTTTATGAGGTCAATAGTCAATCCTCAAATCCTTAAAAGTTCTCGATTCCAATTCAATTTTCCTTATCTCCTTCTCTTTGAGGATAACAGTGACCAGAGAGAGAAAGCACTCTCTCAGAATAGCTGTAGTTTGTCTTCAGCCAGAAGGAACCTTGAAGAGCTTGGGAGACAAATGCTATGTATACCATCTGCTGTCTAGACTTGGCTTCTGGAGTATACAGTATAATCACAGCTTTCCCAAAGGTCCTTATTACTATCCCGGAACACAGCAAGGAAATCAAAAGGAGCTATTAAAGTAATATATTTGGCAATGACCTATCACTGTTACACAAAATAAAGCTATCAACAATGTTCAGAGCTAATCAGGCCACAGCTTCCACACAAAAGACATAACTGATAAGCTCCTACTTAAAAGCTCCTGCTTTACTATTGGAACCGGAGGCACTAATCATACAGCTGCCAGACAAGGAACAAATGCCTGTCATTAGCATATTTAGAAGGCGGCTGGACCCCAGCACACAAACATTTTAGCAGCCCATCTCCCAGACAACAATTACTGGAATGCAAACAGCAGGTTCATCATTTAAATAGAGATTATTCTAAGCAGTTTGTACCAGGCAGTTGTTAAGACTATCTATCAGATGTTAGCTGAAGATGTCAACATTTTTTCAAGTGCTAAGCATCTTTAGAGAGATTAAGCATATTGATACAATTTGGAACAATAAATATACCCACACATTTTATACTTGTATCTTTCTGTCACTGGATGGCACAAGAACAGTAACTGATGCAAAGTGAGGCCCTTCAGTATCTCATTTTAGTTTGAAAGCAAACTACTGAGGTTCTTTTGGTTTTGTTCCCAACTCTTCTTATGTTGACTTCACCTGCTCTGTTTTAATCTGTAATGTTAAGGTGGGCACACACAAACATTTTTTGTACGTAAAAAGAACTCCAGAACATACAAAAGCTTGACGAGTGTTTCAGCAAACTTCTCTGCAGAAGGTTCTTCACCTGACTTTAAGTTGCGTGAAGAGAAGAATACTTTCTTCATTCAGAAGATTACGTATGTTATATCCATTTCCTACAAATAAAAAGAGTAAGTTTTCTTTAGGAGCCACTAGCAATTTTTCAAGTTCTGTCCTATCTTCAGCCAAGTGTATTTTTATTTCATATATTTTAACAGAAGAAAAATTAGCTTCTAATCTAGGATGCCACTCTTACAGACAGGTCATTTGTCATGGTTTGAAAAGGCCCAAATCCAATTCTGATTCCTAGCCCCCCTCCCACATCTCAACCCCATGTGAGATGGGTTTTCCAGACAAAAACACAAGACTCAATATGGGGGGAAAGGAATATATTACAATGACTATACACATAAATAAATACTTATACTATAATACATTACATATTATCTTAACTCTATTACTCTCTACCATGACAATAATATTTACAATGGGCCAAATCTCTTCTCCCTCCAAATAAAAGTCCAGGAGAGAAGAAGAAGAAAAGACCCCTTCCAGTCTCTCAGCAGCAGGTCTCTCTCTAGGCAGCAGGTTCTCTTCTTCTCTTCCAGGCAGTTGCAGCTGGATCCTTGCCAATGCACACGAGGGAGGCCTCCAAGCCTCTTTCAGCCCTCCGTCCTCAAAACGGGGGTCTTTCCGTGGACTGCTTGACCCCAGACACGGTTGCATCACCACGGTCATATCACGAAGCACAAGGGTCTTCGTGACGGTCTGGTATCCTCAGGGGAAATCAAGCCCCTGTGCAGAGCTCCCATGCTCTGACTCAAAGATGGCTGCCAGTTTCTCTGAAGCTGGAGCAGGGGGGGCCAAGGTCACCCCACACACACACATTCCTTTGGCCGTCCTGGCTTTATCTCTCAGGAGGCCATGAGCTTCTTAGCTCCTCTCTGTAGTGCATACTGCACTCCAAGACTCTTCAAGTGAGTCCAATCATCCTCCTCTCTCATCAGAGGAGTCTCCAAGGGAGTTTGGGGGTTTTGTTTATTCAGTTCTTACCCCCTGAAACTCTGTCTCTGCTGCTGGGTCTTTTCTCTTCCTGCTGCTGCTTTTCCTTTTCCTCAGACACGTCTGTGTCTTCCATGCAGCATACCGGTTTCTGCTGCTTCTTCTGGTTCTTATCTGTTGGCTCTTTGCCACTGCTCTCGGATGCTGCTGTCCCTGCTGCTCCGTCTGCCCACTCGCAGTGGAGAAAACTCCTCCAACTTCTCAGCCACAGGCACCTAGCTCAGTTCAACACCATTCCAAGTCCCCATAGCCCCCCAGCCGGGGCTGGGGAGGGGGCAAAGCCCCCAGGGGCCCTGAGCCCCTTCTTCGTGGCTTCTACAACATGGCCACCCTTCTTCTCCAAGCAGTACCACTGCTTCTCTTCCGGTCTCCAGAGATATGTTTATATTTTGCAGGAGCATTGATTGGGTCAAACCCCAAGGGTCACCACCCCCTGGGGGTTACCACTTTCTTGGCTTCAGGGGGAAAACCTGGTTCAAACCACTACATTTCAAAGAGATGACAGGGAATACAGCTAGTGTCACCTATTTTAATCTGTGGTAAGAATAAAGTGCATCTTCGCTTAGAAAATTTTTACTGAAAAGAATGTAACAGGCTTGAGCTCTCAGCTCTCAAAACCCACAATAAAACTTTAAGGTGACTGAGTTTAATTTATTCCTATAGAAACTATCAATAAAATCTGCATAATAAACTATCAATAAAATGGAAACTTACCTGCAGATCTTCACTTGAGATTTGCTTATTAACGTGACCACAAAATAGAATCATCTAATAGGCTTTGTGAATGACCAACATCCTAACATTCATATAGAGCCACACAGTGACTTACAGAGATCACCTGCCACAAACACTGCATTGCCCATCCAGTCATACTAAGACCAGCCAGGAAAAAGTAGGGAGGAATGGAGATGAACTATATATCCTTATGGTCCTATGAAACTTCCAGCATTTTATATAATCCACTTTCCCAAAAAGCAAAAAATTGCATCTGCAGATGCCCTAAACTTTTAAGAATAAACACCAAAAAAAAAAAAGCTTTAAAGCATCAAGCATTAATTGAACAATGACTTAATCAGGACATCATGCTGAAAAGTTAACAGAAAAAAAGGGCTAATTTGTCATTTTCTAAAACAGCCTCTTCACAAGAAAGCTATACAAAAGCTTTCTACAGCTTCATGAACAGCCTGCTTTACAAGTACTACAAAATCTTCTGATTAGTATCTTAACCCACTGATGGACAGCTTCCCATACGGAATTCATGTTACTTTTACATTAGAAGGAAAAATCAGGTCTTTAAATGCTCAACAACTCATACAAAGTTACGACCCATTCAACAAGACATTTTGCACCTTCCATACATCAAGCACAAAGCACAAAATGTGGAGAACTGACCCAAATGGATTTTCATAATTTTACATAGAAGAAAACAGCAAGCACATGATGACCAAAACAATTATATTAGCTACCACTATATTAAGCTGTCTGTGATGTTTCCCCAGCATTATAGCTAGTGACAGAACCAGAATACCAAGAGAAATTTACTCTTAGAACTTGGTAGTGTCATCAAAACTCGGAGGCCAACTCACACAAACAAGCAGTATGTGAGTCACTGCATTCAACAATTAGACTATCGACCCATGTCCAGTGTTGTGTCACATTCCGTTCTCCATAACCCTATACCTTCCCACTCTCTATTCCATCTCTCTTTCAGTCATTAAGTTTGGTTTTGATTCCTAGCACGCTAATTCAGTCTCAACCACCTCCAACAAATCGGTTTTAGACACATGCACTCACCTGGAGGAACATAGAAGGAGTCTCCTGTAGTCAGATAATACGATGTCTTATGTAATGTAACAATAATTTTGCCGTGGATAATATGGAAAGCCTTAATGAAAGCCAAAGGATTCTAAGATTAGCAATGCTTCCTTTGCAAACATTTAAGAAAGTTATCCCGGAAAACATTTGTACACATGTTGTAACAAAGATAAAAAACAAAATAAGCTGGGAGAACTGCAATCCGTTTTTTTCCCCCACACTGCTGAAAAATAAGATGCACGACTCAAAAGGGGGATGGGGTCATCTTATTTATTTGATACTGCTGTCTTGCCTGCAAGATCTAGACAGTAAGTGCACACAGACATACAGACTTAGTATGACACAGAGGGCAATGTGCATGCAAAGTACCTCTAGCAAATGATTCACTAACGTTTACGTGCATTAAGGGAGGGAAAACCCCTGAAAAACCCGTCAGCTTCATATGTTACTTCCAACCACACTAAGATTTCCCGTTTACACAGTCAGTTTTATAAAAATAAGAAAAAAGCACACTTACTATTGTATCCATGTGGACAAACTGGTGTCCCTTTTCTTTAAGTGGTTTCAAAATCAATCTACCAGTTGCAAAAACAGATGTATTCAGATTTTTGTATATTTCTACCGCTTCGTCTTTGAAGGAGCAAGCGTGACTGCTTTCAGTGTTAACGCATTCTACAAAAAAGTCCGGGAGATTGGCATTAATGCTATCACATAATTAGTCTTGTTACTTGCTCAGTGCATTACATATTGTTTCAGTGCAACGCCTTCAAAAGCTATACTCGATATTTAGCTGAAAAATCAAGACACTTTTTGTTTTCCTCAGAACTTTCTCCAGAAGAGCAATGAATATTTCAATAGCTCACCTTTTTATGCCCAATGTGGCATGAACAATTTTTTTTCTTATCAGTCTAAACACAGCTTATATAATTCACAAAGTCCCTTGGCCACATCCTTCAACTCACCTAGAACTACCTCCTCATTTGTTTCTGGGTCCAGTACAATGGTTGGCTTAGAAGTATCAGCTAGGTTGTGATCCAAACTTGCAGGTATCTCTCTTCTATCTGAGGAAACAAAGAAACCAAAACAAAAGCAGAAAAATTATCACTATGCATTTTAAAAACTTATTTAACTACAACTTTTCCACAATTCCAATGTCACATGTTAAGTACTTAAACTTGTTTTAATAAGTGAACTAAACAGACTGAATACACTTCATTTAAATAAAAGGAAACCATCCGTAACAATTCCTTGAAAATGTAATTTTCATTGAAATCATTTCTATGTGTAATAGATGAAGGCTCTCTAAATCCTAAGAAATTTCCCAGGGGAATGCCAAGTATTTATCCTGTGCTATTAACAACAGTATTTATTCAAAAGTATCTGTATTTTCAGAGAAGTGCTTTTCTAGCAACAGATGCTGAGAGGATATGAAATACAGGATGAAGTATGAAGACCAAGTTGTTTTGCTTTTACCTATTGCTGATAAAGGAAACTTAAGAGATAAAGCATTCTAAAGACTAAGCACATGTCCAATTTTCCTTTTCTCAAGAAATACCATTACACGAATCTCACTGTATGTTGTAAATCTGAGAACTATTTCTATAATAAAAAGGATACAATAAAAAGGATTTTTCCAGAGCAGGAAATATCCTAAGAATCGATGACAACTCTACACTTTTCAAACAGAAAATAGATGCTGGAAAATGTTCACAACAGAATATCCCAAAGCTCTCTTGCAGAATTCTCATAAGCAGACAATTTTAGCTCTACAGTGCACAGGAAATTTCTTTAAATGTAACCAGAAGCAGCATGTTAAAGGCAAGCTGTTGCACTTTGTAGGCACTCATGGCTGCTTAAATACTCTTACACCAAGACAGTCAGAGGTAGGAAGAAAGTTGTTGTGTTTGAACAGCTCTGTTCCAACATAACCATCTCTATATAAAGAGAAGCAGCATCAGGTGTAACTCTATAGCTATAACAACAGAAGTTTTATTGTATCAATAAGATTTGAGAATTTGTGCTAGAAATTTTACTCAGCTGACAGTCCCTATATGCATCACTAAAACCGAAGGATGTGAGCAAAGGATCTCTGAGGATGGATGTCCGTTAGAGAGGAAATCAACCACTTCTGGAAGACAGTTCAAATGCACCCAAAGCAACCAACAGCTCTTGTAAGATACAACATAAACAGTCACTACCAGCTCAGGTTCACATGCACTGCAAATTATTTATATTACAACATAAACTGTACTTGATTGATCTAGACCAAGATCCTGTCTCCCATCAGTGGCCAAAAGCAGGTACTCCTTCCATCCCCAAAAATGTCATAACAGAGCAATGGCACTTCCATGGAATATTTCCCACCTTTAACCTGGAGCTCACAAATATTTAGAGCTGTTAACAGTTAAGTCTCCTGTTAATGTATCTAGATCTCGTCTTGAATCTACACAAATATTTTTATCCACAACATTATGGGACAGGAAGCACACAGTGAGAATGGCCACCTTATTCAGCTAAAGAACCCAGTTCTCCATATCTTCCTGCCACACCTTCTAGTTCTTGTGTTTAAAAAAAAAACATACAAAAAAAAGCCAATAAAACAATTTATTTCTATTTTCCTTCTCCACACCACTTGCGATTTTACAGGTCTTTCTCAGGCCGCCACAGAACTCTCCTGAGGGCTGAGGAGTCTTCACTACATAGTTGCTTCTGCACAGAAGTCCTTTCATGTTTTTGATGAGCTTTCCCTGAACCTTCTCTAGTCCTACCACTTTCTTCTTGAGTAAAGGGATAAAATTCACATGAAACACTCTAGAAAATCAGATATTTTTACCAACAGTGACCATTTTCTTCCTTCTTTCTCTGATTATTATTTCAGCCCTGATTTGTTTTAGAACTGTGTTAGGACCATATGGCATTATCCATTCTTATTAGCATTTGTTTTATTAGTTCTATAACTTCACAGAGAAATGTTTCAGTTTCAAACAACAGTTCTAGACAGTCCCACAAAGAAAGGCTCTTCAGCATTGAAACATCTTCCAGACAGCACAGCAAAAATAATTTGGCATTTGAATTTTCACTCTCTTTTCTGAACACTACCTAAATATTTATTATCTTCTGGCCACAGAGGCTCTAGCTAAGCTTCCTTTTCCTGTTTGTTTAAACACAGATTTATTGCCCACTTTGAACCATTTTATGCACTGTTCTTAAAGCTCCCTCTTCACCTACCATGTTGTGGTTTTGTATTTAACCTACAAAAGCTTGAGACTCTACTAACATCATATACTGCCTTTTTAGATGCGATATTACAGGCATCAGTAAAACGACCACAAGATTTTATATCTTAACTGTGCTCATTAGCATCATGATCTGAACACAAACAGGAGTACAGTTTATTTTTTTTCTACCCCTGCTTTAAAGGCACAACAATACTTCTGGGTATGTTCTGTATTTCTTCCTTTCTTCTGAAATTTTTACAACAAGAATATACAGCATTGCTACAGATAAAGTAAGAACAGGTTTTTCCACATCATATTAATAGATTTTGTTATAAAATTATTTTCACCCACAGAGAGAATCAAGCGTTACAAGAGGAAAATCTTACAGCAATAGAGTATTTGATTACAGATAACTTTGTTTTTAAGTATCAAAAGGAAAAAAGTCTGTGTTCATACTTGTTTTGTTGGCTTTCCGCTTGTGACGATCCTTCCTCTGTTTATTCTTACTACGAGATTGTGGTTTTGGATGCTCTAATCCACTAATCACAAGCCCTCCTGAAACAAAAGGAAGTTAAACAAAGTTCGCTAACTCACAGTAACTTTAAAAGAATGCAAACTTACATAACCAACAAGCATTTTAACTGAGATATACTTCCTTGATGCTGAAATTTTCAGACAGCTTTAGAAAGCCAGAACAAACCAAAAAGCTTTTCATTATTAAGTATTTTGGAGTGCAAGGCAACTTGAGATATTTTGAAAATAATATTTATCAAATTTCAGTCACAGAGCATTTCAGAAAGCCATGATATGGAAGCAATTTTTTAAGAAAAAATATCAATTTTAGGAACACAAAGAAATACTATTCTCAAGCAAATTAATTAATTAAGAAAGGACGAAATATTAGGCTGCATTGATCAGAAAAAAATCCAAGAGAACAAGATATATTTGTTCACTCAGGGAATTTAACACTAAGACTGGATAAAATATTATAATATCTGCTCTGGAAAACAATCCTCACACAAAGAGAAATGCTCCAATGAATGATCCAGCAGATTGTCTCTTTTTCCAGTATCATACACAATCTCTCATGTAATAAACCTACTAGTATAGAGAAACTGTTCTGTTCTTCTCTAAACAGTGAAGGCAAGGTAACTTAACATACTCTCCTGATGCTATTTTCAGCTGACAAGGGAATATCAGGAAAGAAAAGGACTACATGGAAAGATGACTAAATAGCTAGTGACCATAAATAATATTTAAAAAAAAAAATACCCAAAAGTAAGCATCTCAAAGTCCTCATGGCACAAGATCAACCCACAGATTTTTCTTTACTGCCCCATCAGAAGGAAGTAAATAGGTATTTTGGAACTAATACCTGAAGAGTTCACAGTATAGTTTATGCGCTCGCCTCTCCAATATTCCAGAGGTCTCAGTCGTATCCTTTTTGTTCGACGAACGTTAGGTGTGTTGGAAGGCATTACTAATTTGAAGGATGACATAATTCACATTAAGCATGAAAGGAAAATTCAGAGATGGAAAATATTAAGCGTCCTTTCCTGTTTTGCTGTATCACAAGGGGGGGTCAGCACTTCCCAGCTGATATTTATATCACATTGCTATCATGACAGGAAAACGGGATCCAAATATTGACAAAAGCCCTCTTTTGCATACATCACTATTTCACTCTCCTTTTTCTAAAACAATCACCACACTGACTTTACGTTATACTTAGTTTTATGTATCTTAGTGAATCACTGAGACGTGGACCTTAGGAGCTCAAGCACAAGGACAGAAAACATGCTACAACTGTGAAGACAAAGCCCTCGACAAAGACTAAGGACCCTGCCTAAATCTGAGGGATTTCATTAGCAACAGTGAAAAGGCACTGCCTTAGTTATGGCAAGGGGAGAGTAAGAGACTGCATAAGCAGCTCCTCCTCTTCCAGATTCGCAAGTCCCATTTCTGAGGTCCAGAACAATGGCACTTCTGCCAACAGAAACTCCCCGCATTTCCAAGATTTCTCAGATATTTATCTTCAGATGTACTTATTACATAGTCTCAACTTTCAAGTTGTCTAAGCTGCCATATATGAATACAGCAAGATATATTTTAGTATTTGTAAGGAAGAATAAAAGCCCTTTAAGAGCTAAGAGCAAATCAGTCAAGATATTTAAATGTTAAAAATGGTAAATATAAAAAACTTGATGAAATAGTTTTTGAAGGTAGACAACTAAAGTGTTGTGCATAAAATAATAATGAAGGTCATAAAAAAAACCCAATATAAAACAGACAAGCACGGGACTGCAATCGACTGCACGTGCATTGTTCCATCCTATCCAGACCCAGACCACCACAGAAGGCAGGTTATTTGCACCGTCAGTTATACTGTGTAAAACTAATACAAATTCTTACTGTTCTCACTGAACTGTAAGTTTGTCTTGACTCAGTCGTTTAGGAATACATTCAGTGCAGGCAGCTCAGTGTGCAGCTGCATGCCAGTCTCCTTCAGCATAGTTTACATCAAGTTTGAAATACATTTGTATTTACACACTTACATTATAATATTTTAAATAATCTTACCTATTTTATGTCTTGGTATGTTGTCTGACAAGGGATCTCTTACTTTGTAATTCAAGTCATCAAAATTCTCTGTAAACACATTCAAAAAACCACCACCATAGGCATTTACTATTCCTGACTTTTATTCAATATACCCACTAAAAGCAACCAAGGGTAGTACAAGTCCCAGTGATAGTGTTCCCTCTTGCTATAAACATGTATGAAACCCAATGTAGATAAGCAGTATATGCAATGAGTAAGCTTGAAAATGACATGAAAACTATATATTCAAGTAAATATTCCTCAGATCTATCCCTCTTGATAAAACAAACGTTGGCAAATTATGACAAAGTGCAAGGTCATTCAGCTTTATATCACTCAAACCTAGCTTTAGAATAAACTTCTTACCAGAACACACACAAAATTAGGTCTCTGAAGAAAGCACTGCATGAACTAATAACATTTGCATATTCACTTTTGGCTCTAAAACACTAACAAAATGACTTTTTATCTCCAGGGCTCATGTTCATTATGACAACATGTGCAACTCGTGTTGTGAAACTTAAAATCCAAACCAAACAAATAAAACTTCAAAAAAACCCCAGACACCACAAACCAAACCAACCAAACAAAACACCCCAAACCAAAATATTCTTGGGTGAACAGGCCATCAGGTTGTACAGTTTGGTCCAGGGTGGCCTGAAGTGATTGTATTTAGTACCATCACATGGCAACACATCAAACTGGTACAAACAGAGCCTGAAAAATGTGTTCAAAATATTTTGGAGGGATAACTTTATCCTGGTAGGCTTGATGCCAAACCCTGGAGGGCTTGTTCTTCCAAAGCTAACACAACATAAAGCTGGCATAGTGTACCACATACTTGGACAGAAATGTAACCACAGCCAATAAAATCCGCATTTGTTCTGGACAAGCTGAATACAACAGAAATTACTGAACCATCAGTTACAGTTTATAAGAAGCTTATACATAAAATGCAAGAAAATATCGACTTTAAACATTACCTGAAGATGTATCATACTGTTCAGAAGACTTAGTGTTGGAAGCAAATTTATCACAATGTTCTAGAACAGGCCCACTTCAAAAGAATAAAAAATAAACCTGCTTAAAGATGTTAAATGTCAAAGGAACATTACAGCACTACCATATATATAAAATTTAAGTTTTTTTCAGATCATATGGTCTGGATTTTATTTTTCTTTTAAACATCTGTCTACAGTGATTAGACACTAAAGCAAATGACTGCTAGTTAGAAATCATAGGTCTGAAATTCAACTGCTCCTCTACTCAGTCACCAGACAGAAAAATTAGTGTTCACACCTCCTCTCTAAACAGGTTTCTTAAACTTCTTTTTTTCTCCCTTCCAGAATAAAGATGTCTTCTTCTGTAGCATGACCTTTCAAACAATTTTCCATATACTGTGATTATGGAACTGCTTTAAAGAAATGTTTTGCATACTATAAGGAATGGACAGTAAAATAGTTTGTATTTGTAATGAGTATTCTGTCATGAAATCTCCCCCATAACATGACAATTTATGTGTGACTCCACCAGAGATTCTTTAGCAATCAAATCACTTCTAACAGGACCTCTCTTACAGCCTTAGCATCAGTACCCTTCACCTTCCTTCTTCCTCCATCTGTGGCTGTGCTTCACTGCTTTTACTGTGCCAATGAAGTTCAGCTGTTATCCACCTAAACTCCAAAAGATGCATTTATATTATCTAAATTAGCAAACCTACACTACAAATTCATCCAAGTAAGTCTGCAGTAGTCTCCCTCATAATTAAAAACCCCCAATTTTTCTGCAGAATGACTGCTTAAGAATTCAATAAATTCACAGACTGCCACTCCTGTTTGCTTTGTCATTAAGTTCCCATCTCATGAAGGGGAAGATACATGCCTATCTACATGCAAAAAGTTTGGATCATAGATACAGCTCTATACCCCACTTAACAGCAACTTTATTAGTACAGCTGCTATTAGTTCTAGGAGCACTGGTATTTCTGTTCCAAAATCACACACTAACGTGGAAGCAAGCCTCAAAGGAAAAAAATCCCCTAAGGCAAGAAACCTACTATGACCCCTTATTTATGACAGGAAGAAAAATTTTACTAGTTTATTAACTGTATTAATGCAGTATTTAAAATCCTCAAGCGTGAATTACAATTCTTTTCTACTAGGTGCTTCACTAGTAGAGCACAGAATGGGGTAGTAGTACCAAACTGTTCTGTCTCAATGGGGCAGAAGTGAGATTAAATTCAAGGTTTTCAGACAACTCAAGAAATTACCTTTCATAGTTCACAGCCTTCTCAGCCACAAAGGAATTTCTAGAAGAGAAAAAATTATTTAGTACATTTTAGTGTTGAGTCAATTTTACTTAATGAAAGAAACCTGTAGGTCAATAATTTTATATCCTGAACAAAACCATAAAAAAGACATTAAAAAAAATTTAAAAACAATGCAAAGAACAACTATTATAAACTGATTTTAGACTCCTTAAACTTCCGTCTTTAGATTGCCTATGACTAGAAAGTTACATCCACAAAAATATATACAATAGCCGAAGAATTAAATGCTGTACTTTCTAAATTTCATTTAAAAATACAACAAGCCTGACAGTGAAGTTACTCTGTGGTGGTAGGATTGTATTAAACTGGATCTACTACACAAGTCTCATGAGAACAGTTTAACCAGCACAAGCTTCCTCATGTAAAGACACTAGATTTGGCACCCACATTTGAGAATAGGATGTTGACTACTCCACTTGGTTTCTCTATTAACTATTTGACACCTCAAACTATCTCGTAGTTCAATTGGGCCATCACTGCTTAAAAGTTAACAAGGTGTGTTTAATTATCTACCAAGTTATACCACGCTTGTAAGGAATCACATAAAAAGCTTACTGTGGTCCGTGTTGCCTGTTACGTTTTCTTTTGTTATTTTTTATTTTTTCATCTGATAACTTCTGTTTTTTCCTTGCCATGTTCTGTACAGAAGAGCTGTCAGAATCTGTTTGAGACTCAGTGTCCTCAGGGTTTGAATAAACAGCTTTATTGGTTCTGCAAGGAATCTTTCTGGGTATCTTCCCTGAATACTTGGCTGGCAACTGTTTCTTTTCAGAATTCTTCACACTGTCCATGAGATGCTGTAGTGCTTTCACAGGAGTTTGGTTATTTGCACCACCAGGTGAGTCCAATGTGTGCAATACATTTCTAGGCTTTTCAGACACAGCCAATTTCTGAATCACGGGAGTCTCTAATTTCTGACGCAAGGGTGTGGTACACACATCTTTCAAATCTACAGGCTCTCTTTCATGCTCTTCTTCACTAAGTTCACTGTCAGAACTCTTCTCTCTTTGCAACTGAGGCTTTTTATTACTACTTTTCTGGACAGATTTTTTAAGGTCCTTCCTTGGACTTAATGCCACTTTCTTAGCTATTTTAACCTTAGGAAGTTTCTGCTTAGCAGTTTGTTTCCTCTTATGTAAATGCTGAGAAGCTTTAGAAGCTGACTGCAGATTCTTGGAAGACTTGAGAGACTTTTTTGGAGACACAGTCTGTTCTTGCTGATGCCCAGATGAGGGCATAGGCAAATCTTCACTTGGCAGCACCCTTGTTTTACATTTTTCTGCATCAGATGCTTCAGTTTCCAATCCAGACCATGACAATATCAGTTCTTCAGCTTCTGGTTTCCAGGATGTGTTCTTTTTCTGGTTTGGAGAGTCTTGCCTAAGTGCATCCTTTTTAGTCTTTCCTATCAATACACAAAACATTTGGACATTAATACCTTTTTACATTAAACAGATACATGTGGACATCTGAATGCCTAAAAATAAACCAAAAAATGAAAATGGGAAAACAAACAAAAGGTATCACAAAACCAGGTTTGTCCCTGAAGGCTAAAAGAAGGCCTTCTCTAAACTGTAGTGTATAAAAACCTTTTTAGTGTATTTCTAGTATTTCCTAACAGAAAAAAAGGGAGCAGAAATGTTACATTTAGCTTGTTATCCAGTTTTCAGTGTTTCCTGCTACAAACCTTTTCACAAACAATTCCTAAAACTCAATCCCCTTCAGTTTGAAGCATGTGTCTTAACCTCCTTTCTACAGAGAGGAGCAAAAGTTTGTGGGTACCTACCTTCTACACCTGCTCATAAGGAAAGACAACACCACTAAATTAATTTTTAACATCCTAATAGGAAGGGCAAAGAGGCTGGGAAAAGTGAAGACACTCTGTCTCTGCCTCATACACATCCAAATCTAACTGTGCAACTGAAACATCAAAAAGGAATCCATTAATGTCTCTCATCTATTTTATTATAATTTCCTAATAAACCACCACAAAATAATCCAGTAATATGACCTGGAAGGAAAAGTTTAAGGAGCTGTTAAAGAACTTACCTGTATGAGTACTCTTTTGGCTTTGAGATCTAAGGACATTTCCTTCACTGTTAGAGATTGGATCCGATTTTGACATTCTTTTGAAGTCAAAGGCTCCAACATCCAGGTTATTCAGTTTCTGTTTAGTAAGTGCTTCAACCTGTGCTTTCCTGTTCTTGCCTTTCTTACTCTGTGTCCTCTTCTGTTCAGAGGGCTGAGATTTAGAAACAGGAGTTGCAGAGCCATCTTTTTTTGATTTTCTGTTCTTACTGGGTATTGAAATCCAAGAAGCAAATGATGCACCACCTGATTCATCAATTAAAAATTCACATTCATTTTCGATTTCAATATCTTGATCTTTCACAGGAGGAGGTGACGGGGGTGATATCGAGGCTGAATATCTACAGAAAGGAGTGACAATGACAAATCATTTTGGGCGGTGGGGTAAATTGACTAATAATCTTTCAGACCTAGTGGTGACTCCAGAACACCTAAACACAGTACAGAACATTCTTCAGAATGCATTCATTCATTGCCTTCCAAAAAGAGCACAAGGCCTGCTTCTTCTTGCTTTGGACAGATGCTGAACAGTCAACTTCCTATGTAACCAGTCAGATCCAGACTAGCTCTGAAAAAAGACTGCTTGCTCACTGTAAACTTCAAAATCACATAAGGCTTTCCTAAATCCTCTAGGCTACCTATCAAAACATCTCAGGCTCTATCTGAAACACTATTCAACAGACATTATTCAACACACTATTTTACTCGCAGACAAAACCAAGAGCACTGTTAAATCCTACACAAAATTTTGAAACAACCATTCAAACCCTTTCTCAAGTGGCATTTTTACGTAATGTTCGACTATCCCAAAACATGCTCCCAGACTTTGTTTATAGATAAAAGGATGTTGTTCCGATATTCAGACCAGAGTTATTTTAATAGCAAATTATGTTCCACATTAAGCCTCAAAACAAACCTCTGTCGAAGTGTTCCTGTTGCTACAGCTGCTAAGAGAGCTGAAGAGAAAGTCTTCTCTTTCTGTACAGAAGATGTAGCAACAGGTTCTGTTCCTTGCACAAGAACAACCTGCTCATCTCTCTCAGTCTGAGGTCCTTCCAAATTTTCAACTTCTCCACAGCTCTTTGCTGTAGCAGGTGTATTCCAGCCATCAAGACACAATCTATGAAAAACAGCATTCAGATATATTGCTATACATCTTGTGAGTGCACAATAAAGTATTGTGAGGAAGAACAGATGTTCCTGCTGACAGTGTCTCACTTCTTATGAATGAGTTTCCCCTTGTTAATTTGCTGAAACACAGCCTAGCTGTAGTACTTCCCAGCACAGCAGCATGTGTCCAAAGCAACACAGAGTCTGCTGGTGACTCTTGATCAAAGTAAAGGCTGCTCAGTAAGACAAATTCCTAATTTGTCCTAACGTGCTTCAGAAATTGTAAGGTTTCCTAGACTGTAGGTACACTGTCTTCCCAATCTCACTCCATCAATGGGAATCAATGGGATCAGCGACAGTCCATCTCTATGATCTACCCTACAGGCTCAGCCCTCCAGGAAAGTAGAACTGTGGTAAGGACCACTGGCCAATATTGCAGTTGGGCTTCAAATTTTCCAGTGGGGAGATAGAGATCACAACTTGAGTTTTTCTATTTTGTATAAAAAACTTGTCTATTCAGAGTGAGAGGAATGATGACTGCTCATTTCTACTTTAACAAATTCTTGTTAACTTCTAAGGTCAATACTGTCAATAGGATTCACTGAAAAAGTCTGGACTACTTAAGAAGCTGATGCTTTGGTGAACTTTTCTGCAAAGAGTTCAAGTCTATTCTGACACGCTTCCTACACTTGGGTGCTGCACTTATCACCAGAATATTTAATAAAAAATAATTCTGTCCTTTCTAAAAACAGATATGGAAATTTTCTAAAAAGTTTGGAATTATTTTTTATGAGTTCACAATCTGAACTTATAAACGATCGAAACCACTGTGTTGATTTACCCTAAGGTGGAGGGCACACAGGGGATGTAACACCACAGTCATGTTCAGCTCTACTTACTCAAGCACAGGAGAACTTTTCCCTTTCTCCACAGGAAAAGGTGATCCAACAGACCCGTGATCATCCTCAGGGTCCAAAAACATGGCAGGACTTCGGCACAGCACTTCAACATCTTGTAATGTATTTTTTTTGCTTTTAGACACAGGAGACTCTGGTTTTTTAGAAACAGCTACATAATCATGTATTGCAGGCTTCAAGGGTGATTCACATGACTGTCCTGCCATATATATAGAACAGGCTTAATTCCTCTACTCAAAATCTTACCAAAAAAACCGAAAAAAACTTAATTCAGTAATAGTGGGACCAACCTCTGCTGCTGACTGGTTTTAGCAGTGTTATAGGTGAGCATCCTGGAGAATTACAGGCTCTTTTCACAGAGTTGGGTGATCTTGCCTTTGGCTGTCATAGTTGGTAACAAATAATGTGACAAAGTAAAATATTTGATAAAGCAACAGTATTTTGACAGGAATACAAATTTCTACAGAACATGATACACTTTCCTTCCCTTAAATCACACTCATGTGAATCACAGTTCTATATTAACTAAACACTTCAACTTTCTATCAAGTAAGACTTTTTAGAAGTAACTATAAATTTCAAATAACAGGAAAAACAGTGTGTACAGCAAAAATCAATACGCAGCTTTAAATAGGCATCCTGTTAGTCTCCAGGCAAGCTACTCTTTTCATTAGAATAAATTATTTTAAACAATTTAATTCACCTTTCTTAAGACAGGCTGAGGTTTTGCAAGAAATTATTTGACATTATATGGTATTCTAACATCAAACTAAAGTAAACAAACACCATTATAAAGGATGCCTGTTCTCAACCCTGCCATTAATGGAATATCCTATTTAAAAAAAAAAAGAATCAAAACATTAAAATTAACTATACAAACTAGATTATTGGCATTATTTTCCCAGCACGCTAACAAGGCCTTCAACTTGTTTCCACTCTTCAAGAAAGATACATATATATAAAGTTATTGTACAGATAACTATTTATCAGGAGTTAACGAGCTTTTGTACAAGCATCACCTTTCAACTCTACTGTTCACCATTTAGCTAAGAACTGTGTCCATATATCTGCAAAGTGGCCAAAACCAACTCCAATGGAGTCCAAGACAGCCACACTCACCAGCAGTAATAAGGCAGCATGCTCCAACCTGAGACCATAAAAAATTTAAGTGTCCTGGACAAAAAGCTGAAAAAGCTTTCACTAGAAAAAACCTGGGAAAAAAGCTATTAAATAAATCTAATTACAGAATATTTACTGTTAGAGCATAACAAACTAAGAAAAAAACCATTATCAACAGTTATTACAGATGGTTAAATTGTAGCCTATATACTGTTACAAGTGGTATATGGAGCTTCTTCAATGCTCATACAGAACTAAATTTGTACCCCAGTGAAACTGTACCCAAAGCTACACTGTGACATTGCCATAACTAACATACCCTTAGGCTCTGCATTGAAGTCGTCTTCTCATTTTTGACAACAGGAGCTGAGCAAAGGGTTGCATTTGGAGAGTTTATTGTAAGGTCACTGCTGCAACCTACGAAGAAAACGCTGTAAGTATGGGGATCTTGGAATTGTCCAGGTCTCATTTATTTTAACAAGTTGTTTGCTACAGCTGTTAAGGTCACGTAAATCCAAACAAGAAAGGAATCAGCTACTCAGGAAAGATTACATTTACAAGACAGCTAAGACACAGTTTTAAGCAGCTGGGAAGGGGGTGCTTTTCAAGACCCTGAGAAAAACTTTATTTTTATCCATTTTATCTCTAATTTTTATTTCTATTTACTTACCACTAAATATAATATAAAGAAGAAATTATTTCTTCTTTTACCAGCAAATTGAGTAAAACACCAAATAAGAGCTTACTTTCAAAACAATCCTGTATGAGTTTCAGTACGTTTTGACCTGGCTGTACATCAATCTTACTTCTAGAAAGAAGAGGGAAAAAAAATATTTTAAATCAAAAATATCAAATGTTCCTATACCAGCAATATTACAGCAGCAAAGTTCTTACTTCTCAATATTTTAAATTATTATTTCCTCTAGTCTCAGCTTCAATATACTTTTACCTAGCATTTCCACACATCGATATCTGCAAAGAAACTTGTCGAAATAAGAATTCCAGGGAAAAAAAGCCTCACTGCCACAGATTATGATGAGAACGAAGAATTCTCTCTACATAAAAGAAAACACACAACTACACCCTGAGATAAAAGAGCTTTGGGATGAAGAAAATATCTCTTGAAATAAATATTTTTTGGGCAGAAGTGAGTGATTCACCAGCCAGACAATGTTGATCAAAACCAAAATAACTCTAGAAAAGACATGGAGTATTACTCCCATAATGATCATTATACACCTTTAAAAACAGCTGATTTGGTAGATTTGGTAAGCTTGTGAAACGCAAGTCTAAAAATGGATTCCAGTAACAAGAACCTCACAGGCTTCTGACTTGCCTTTAAAGAAAGCTACAGCACTACAAATACTCCAATTCATCTCCAGCATTTATCAGCAAGGTCCAAATATGCTGGAGCTCTGTGTGGGCTTCATTTCTCTACTTCCTAAAAGGCAAAATGTCTGCACAGATTACTCCTTCCATCCTCAGGCAGCCTAGTTAGGAGCACCTTAGGTATAGCAACACCATAGTTTGCTGCCTCAGCAAACAAAACAAAGGAAAACCTTGGGGCTTTGTCCCCCAGCACTGTTTGCTCCTCACACCACTAAGAAATACAAGAAATTTGGGAAACATCGTATGATCAGTTTAATAGGATACACCATACAGCTTTGACATTATGCTCTCGGATAAAAATCCACATAAGTTTTCCAGAATCTAAGAATAAAACTTTAAATGCAAATTACCCTCCTCCATGGCAGAATCTTGCTCTGTAGTCTTTTTTTAAATGATTCTGTGAAGAAATAAGAATAAGTTCTTACTAGGCATAATGACACTTGACAGGAAAACAAGTAAGCAAATATCAAGCATTCTCCATCCATCGTAAACTAGTGGGAGAGTGGGAGTTACTGCAGCCCTCTTTTCCTTAGAATGCCACAGCAGTTACAACCCCTGTAACAACTGCCAGAAATTCAGCTTTCCACAAGAATCATCAAAGCATCTGTTGCAATTGAAGTCAGAGAGTCTTATAGGAGACTTACGTGACAGAAATCACAGAGAATGTAAGGATTTGGTTACCATTTACTCAACTGTGATGATTAATCTTTAAAGTAAGGAAGAGGAAAGCAAGCCAGGACATAACCAAACATCCGCTACTGTGTGTTAACTGCTCACGTGATGGTTCTTACCCTGTTTGCCACAGGCACGACCACACTGACAGGCAGTGAGATCACATTGCTGTGCCTTGGCAAAACTACAGCCTCAGTTAAGTCCCAGTGCCACCTCACACACTTGAAACCCGAATATAATCAAAGTCATTCAAATAGAAAACACGACTCCAGTCATCTACTACCACAACTGGAGCAGTAATACTTCAAACGGCAACATATTATCAGTGTTACCGTCTACACCAACAAATGAAATAAAGCCGCTGACCTGGAAACAGGCAAAGAATATTGAGGATACAAATGGGAAGAAAGCTCTAGCAAAATTGAAGTGCTAAGCAGAGTACAGTTTTTCACAGATGTGATAGGAAAACATCTCAAAAAATGTAAATGTTTAGCTGAAAAACAACTATGACCTCTTATTCATTTGTGTAAATTTAAAAAGTATGTGCAGCTTGGAGATTATCTAGTCCTAACACAACAGAATTCAGCTCATTTTTCTGAATTTTGCTATACTGACAGTACTTTGCACTTCTTTATGATTCCTCTTTGGATATTACTTCTGGTAACAAAAATAACCAACACCACATATGGATTGATTGCACTAGAAACTTTCAATATCAGCCTTAAGTGGCAGAAGGAAACTCTAGGTCACACGGGAAAACAACTGACCCAAAGGTACCCCTTCAGAAACTGTGCAGAACCACACCAGTCAATCTGACACCCGGCCTTAAACCTCTTCCCCTTGCAGCAGAGTGTAGCACAATCCACTGGCACGCAGCCTTTCGCACTAAAGAGACTGAAAACCTCCTGTAACGGACCTAAAAGTGCTTTGAACAGTTCATTTATGAGTGTGTTCGCATTGCCCTACACATGAAGAGTTTTAAAACTCAAGATGAGCACGATTGTGGCGTGCCTGGACAAGTGTCCGGCTCTGTACGCTCTCACTCGCCCATGGAAGGCGGCTCTCCAGAGGCAGCCTGAGGGAAACGGGGCTCCCGACAGACTAGTCCTCAGAGCACAAGTGTCTGTGCCAGAGGCCCGGACCCGGAGGGCTCGGTGCGCCAACCCCGGCCTCGCTCTCCTCAGGGAGAAGCGGAAGACCCCAGGGTGAGGCGGAAGAACGACCCCGCCCCTCCCCCAGGAACGCGCCGGGGGCCGCATCTCCGGCTCTCCGGAAGGGACCGGCCGCTGCCCACAACACAGCGCACAGACAGACCGACAGGCAGGCGGACAGACCGACAGGCGGACAGACCGACAGGCGGACAGACCCCCGCCGTCCCCCCACTCTCTCACCAAGGCCTCCGCCATCCCGGACCGGGGCTCGCGCGCGCCCCGCGCGCCGCCTTCGAACCTGCGCGCCTTTCCCGCCGCGCGTGCGCCCACCGCCGGCGGAGACGGCGGCGCCCCGGCCACGCCCCCCCGCCCCCGCCTCATTGGTCGGCGGCCGCCGCGCGCCAGCCAGGGACGCTACTTTTGGCGCGCGCGTTGTGGCGCCTGTGCAGGAGCGGGGGTTGTCCCCGCCCTCAGCTTCCCTACCTTGAGGGCACCTGTACGGTAACGGGTCCCGTCTCTTTGTCCCCTCCTGGGAAACGCCAGTTCAAATTCTCGGGTTTCCAAATAGCCACTGTCACTGCGGGGCGCTGCAGTTTTTTCTTTAAAACGTTAGTGAAGAACTTAACACTGAGCAAAAAACAAGTGCTTGATAACGTGAGGGCGCAGTGCCTTACAGTGCCCGCGAAACGCTGCCCAAAAATATAGTTTTAAGTGAGGGTTTTTATTGCACACTTGTGACTAGTACACCATCCCTGTTCTTTCTGACCACTATGGGGAAGGCCCACTGTTTTTATGAAAGTACAACATAACATGAGAAGTTCGTGCTTTCTTTTCATGAAAATACTTAAGGTCACTGTGTGAACCCGGTGCTGCTCCATGTACATGAGGTTAGAGTTGCAGCTTTTCCTCACTGTGAAATTGAAACTTGCGTGTTGCTGGGAGAAGTGGGAACTTAAATACTTCTTTGCTGGATCTCACTTTTGCCGTGCAAAATTACTGACTAGCAAGACAGTTTTGCTGGTATTAATGCTGTAACTCACGACAGTTTTAAGCTTGAGCCTCAATAAGCTTTCTGCACCATGGATAAACACCCACATTAGCTACTTCAACAACCACACAAAAGATACATTTAAATTAAAATAAATGCTCAAAAGCTGTCTGGTCGAAATTTATTTGCACCACAGGAGATAATTAACTGGGATTGATAAACCTTTCAAGCTAATGTCAGCTTCCTTTCTTCAAACAACTGGCCTACAGCCACGTTGTTTCAAAGACACAAGGAAAAATTAACCACCTTTGCTCGTGTTTGATAACTCAGACCTCAAACTCACATTAATTCAGGATGTTAGATGCCATGATGAGGGTGACCGGGTTTCTGCATTCGCAAAGACCCAAATAGTGCCAAAGTTATTCTTTCTATGTAGTCACTATTCTTGAATAGCTTTTTGGTTTGTTTTGTTGCCTTTTTTTTAGTAAACATTTGCATATTTATCCTACATAGGAAAAGGGTGGGAAAATAAGATGGAAACATCTACTTTTTACTCGTGATATATGTAAATCCATCAGATACACCAAAGGAGTCTTGGTAACAGCAGCAAGACCTTCACAAAGAATCCTCACTACTCCTAACATTAAAGAAACACCTTGACTAACCACAGAGAATAGCTGAGAGGGGTGCTAAGTGCCTCGTGCTTTGCATGCACAAACATTTCTGCATCTATATTAAGAATGCTAAAAATTCAGGGAAAGTTAGTGTAAATATGAGCAAACTGTTCAAGAAAGCATTTGAGTAAGAAAGCTCTTCAATGCTGATATAAAACACCCCTGAAAATGAACTATTCCTTCAAAGAGTAACATTATGAAAGAAAGCTATTCAAAGTGTTCTAGTGGAAAGACAGTTCTTCAATGTTGCAGGAAGAAAGCTAGCTCTAGCTGCTCCTCAAGAATAAAGCATCAAATGGTCCTAGACAAACACAGTCTTTCATTACAATGAAGAAAAAACAAAACAAAACCACAAAAAACGTCACAAACAAACACAAAAAAAACCAAAGCAAAACAAAAACACACCAAAGAGAAAAAGCAGTTCTCAGATTCCGGGTAGTGCTACAAGCCTGTAGCTTGGTAGCACTGGTAGTGACAACGCTGAAGATCTGGAAGACCAGCACCCCAAAATTCACTTTCCCAGTTTGATTGAACCCTTTGTGTCATCATGCTGAGCATCTGCTGAGACTTTTGATTAAAAAGCAGGAACAGATTGAGAAACGGGCTGTATCAAATACAAATTCACACAGAATCAGCCCACTCCACTGCAAAACCTTCAATATAAATACATTCGCTCTCTGCATCAGCAGTTCAAAAAGGTTTAAAACATAAAAAGTTTAAATGAGCCACTTGACATGCACATTTCTCCTATATAAAGTCCTCTTGAAGTTATTAAAGATTTTACCTAGATAATTTATATCCAAAAATTTTAAAGGTCTGCTAATTACTATCTAGAGACATTGTGCATTGTCAATTTTTCCACAAGCAGCTTTTTAACTGAGGAGAACCCATTCATAGAACAGACACTCATCCAATAGATACACACAATAAGAGCAGCACAGAGATACAGCCATTTCTGTAAATTCTGGCTGTGATCCCAGCCAGCCTTGACCTGCACTTCTTGACAAGGGTCTCAAAGCTGTATACATTGTCACTAATCAAAGCCACTCTATTAATTATATCTGAAAGTTTACTTTAAACCCTGAAGACAGTCATATGGCATTCTAAAAATGTACAGAGACTTCACTATTTTTATGTGCTGCTTATTTCAAAAGCATAAGCATGATGTTAATACCACACTAACATACCAGAGTATACTTACTCAAAGGTTCATTTGTTTCTCAGCCTCCAAGCATGAGAGGTGACGGTGCTTTCAACTTGATCTAAACCTTTAAGTGATCCTTAGCACTAAATAGTGACTTCAGGTAAGAGTTCAGATTCTAATACTGCCACAGTGAAACACATTTTAGTTGTTATTTAGAAGTGGAAACTTACTGTCTGCTTGTGCTTCCTCTGCACTCTAAATCTAGCCACCTTTTCTCTAGTTTCAAAAAGTTTCTCTAAAAGAAGTTCATAAAAAAATGAAGTTAGATAGTTTAGAAAGCAGTATTATTAATCTAGAAAATTATATCTATAAAGTAGACTGACTGTAAAATTATACACACCTTCCAGAAGACATCACACATGCAAGACTGAGTCCAAAATATTGAAACAATTATACTGATTCCAGATATTCAGTTCCATACATCTTGATGTACAAGTTCCAGTTTACAGGTTTGTATTCTAACCTTGCCTCACTCTACCATGGTGGTGAGAAATAACTACCAGCTCAAGTTTCTGGTGTTTAAATGATAGTTAAGTGATGACATTTCTGTACCACACCTCTGCCTCACTGCAACAAATCTAGTCCCTAATGATTTCCAGATAAACAGGATCTTTACACTTCAACATCCCAGAAACTGACTGATGATGATAAAAACCTGTGTTCAGTGCAAGTCAGACTTGGGCTATGGACATGTGTACAGCAGAACCACTCACTATAAGGAAATGGTTAACAAAAGGAGTTTGGTATGACAAACATAGGGACCCCTGGTGGCCTAGTGGTTAGCGTGCAGGACTTTCACTGCTGCGACCACGGGTTCAATTCCCAGTCCCTCCCGGGCAGATGGAACCCGTTAGCCCTGTGTGGCCATCCATCTATGAGAAGGACACTCTAAACAAACCTACGTCCTGAGGACCTCACTGCCATTGTCCAAGCTTGCTTGGCCCCGGCAGATGAACCTTAGGATTAAAGGGTGGGCTCAGTTCAGCGCAGGCTGTGTCTCACCTAAAAAATCCATTGCGCAGGCTGGAAAGGTAAAAAAGACCTTTCCCCAAATCTTCGTTCGCGAAGATGGGCCATTATTATTATTATTATTTATGACAAACATCCAGAGACGTTTGCCTTTTCCTCCCTTTAAAGTCACCATGTGCTATAGTGATTTTAATTTGGTGAGGGCAGAAAGGCTCAATCACATTTTCTCTTTCTTGAAAACAGTTTTATTGTTGAAAGTGCTAATTCAGCTCTCTGATAGGTTTTCACTTTCCCCATACTGCAGTATTCTGCAAAGAACAGTCTCAGTGCAGATAATCAACAATTCCGGCTCTCTGGACTTCAGCAGAGTTTTGACAATTTACACCTGTTTCCTAGTTTTCCATGTTGAGACTGACATAAGATAGCTGCTCTGGCCACAGCACCACTAAACAGTGACACAATAAAGCAGTTTGTCTGCTCTTAAGTGGGAGTCTAAGCCTTTTGAATGGATTAAATCTCATGTGTAGATGGAAAGAATGAAATTCTTGTTTAAGAATTAAATAACATATGAAATGGATTTAAGATGTTCTTAGAACACCAGGAGCATAAAATGGTGGTTTCCCCATTTTTTGCACTCTTCTCTAAGCAGTCCCTAATTTGCACATGGGGACCATTTGTTAGGTTCACCATTCTTCTTGCTTTCTTCAGCTCCCCGCAAATCAATACAAATCTTGTCTTTAAGGTAAGGACTGTACTGGACATTCCATCTCACAGAGTGACCAATCCTCCTTTGAGCAAACAGGTTTGAAGAACACAGGAGCAGAAGAGACACAAATCCAGTTTGTCTTCAGTGCAAAGCCACTGATTTTCACCATTTAATTAAGGCTTCACCAAAAAGAAATACATAGTACCATCTTTAATAGCTGAAAATTAGCACACTCCTTTGAGAACAAATGGTCCATGAGTGACTTCTGTGTCTCTACCATCAATTGTCTTCCTGACCAAAGTAGTATCTCACTGGGGGCCCTGGCAAGTCTTCTTCTCCATCAGTCTCTGGAGCAAATGATACTGTCAAATCCACATACTTCTTATCAGTTGATGGTTTCACAAGTTTTTGCATCCTATAGAGAAATAAAGCAGAGTTTGTTAATATGCTAGAAGGAGGATTGGCAGTGGGAATTCAGGATCAGATTAGGATGAATTTCACTGCCAGCAATATATACCGGTCTAACACACTACAGGCCAAATTAAAATGAAGAATTAAGCAATTAAGCCACCTTTAAATTTTGACACAAAAGCTGTTTCTCCACCCAAGATCCAGCAAATCGTATTCAATTTTCTTGATAAAGGTAGCCCATTAGCGAGCTACTGCATCGTTCACCAACAAGTGATCAGTACAAAAGAGAAGAGCATATGGCCAGTTTTGGATGGGATTCCTCACAGACATAATTTTTCTTTGGCATCCCAGAGAGGCACAAGGCAAAGTTAGATTTCTGTGTAGGGTTTCAGTCAATGAGGAGGAATGAGTTCTCCGTCTACCAATAACGGCCCGTTTTAGTACATTAGGAAGAACCACTCCAGTGCAGACACCAGATAATAAGTTCTGATGGAAAGTAATTCTATTGGGGTTATGGCATTAAGCCCTTCAATTTCAAAGGTGAATAGTGAGGAGGGGAAAAAATAGCCAAGATCTGGGACTTCTTCCTTCATGACCACAAAGTGAGTTTGAAATATGTAAGCATGTCACATATTAGCGCAATTTCCCTCCTTTGCTCTCTGCAGTCTCAAAAGCTACAGCCAATGCTTGGAAGTTGCACACTGGAATACTGAAGCAGGTCAGCCGACCTCACTTTCATCACATATCTGTAGATGGCTCAAGATTATTTTCTTGCTAACCTGGAGCACTTATTCATGAGGCCAGCTCAAATGCTATGAGGCTGAGGAAATACAGTCAATCATTTCTATTCCTCACAGATCACTTAAGAGAAGGATTTCCCTTCTGGGTATACTTTAGTATGCAGGCCAAAAAGCTGCTTTCCCCAAAGCACTTGTTTCCTTGCAAGAACACAAAGCATTAGCCTCTTCTCAGCAGAGATACTGAGATAATATTTATTTGCATGAGGAAGTCCCAAGCTACAGAGCAAGGCAGATAACTTGCTTTTAAGGAGCAAGAAAACTTGCTTTTAAGGAGTATGGCACCAGTTAATGCTGCAATTCTGAAACGAAGAAAGAGTCTGGTAATGCTTGTCATATTACAGCATGATTTTAAGCAACTTAAGGAAAAACAAACACACAAGACAGATCAGAGTTTGCTGTGCAAGTATCTTTTGGGACTGTTTGTAACAGAACCCCAAGTTGCTGCTACTACATGGAAAGCTTGAACCAAGTCTCAGAGTGGTAAGAAATCCTGATATTCACAAGGCAGCTTCACACCATACCTTTGACTTCATTACATACCTCACTCATTCAAAATTATTTATACAGCTGTAAGAGAAGGCATATAAACAACTTCTTTTTAACTGGCTGTAAATTCTCATCTTAGTATGCCAGGCACTCCGAAGGTAGTACCAGCTTAAAAGCTCTTCTCTCCCAGGAATTTTGAAGTAGCTTGCTCATACTACTTTGCCTGATATTACCTACTGGCAGACCTTCAAAACAGGTACTGATCAATGCATCAGCAATAGCTTTAAGCTAGTTTCAAAAGGTTCTAAATTGTTCCACTTGAACCACAGTACATTCTTCCCCCCCAAAAAAACCCCAACTTATTGTCAGACTTCTTCAGCTTTCTCATTCTGGTATTCATCAGTTAGAGCAGAATTTTGGAAGTCTCCTGCCCTCATCATAGAAGTTAATTCACTTTCTCTTTTTTATTTTCTTTTTGTTTTCCAAATGAAAGAAATTATCTTTTTTCTTTCCAAAATATTAACAACTAGCAACCACTTCGAGGGAAAACACTGTTGTCAGACACACATCCTTATGATATAACCAATGAGCGTAATTTGTATGTGCATTTGCATCACTCAACCCGTTTTCCAGTTATACTCACGTGAACTTTAATCTTTTAATATGGCCTGGCATCACAGGAACATACAGCATTTTGACTCCTTGTACAACCATAGTTGGTTCAATTCCATATTTCTCCTGGAATTCACAAATTAAAGCTTATTAAAGGACTAGAACAGCTGCCCAAGGCAGCAGATATTACTGCTGCTAATACTACAAGCTAACTATTCAAATCCATAGAATCCCAACCAGAAAACTTGCTAGTGCATAGACTCTGACAGAGTTTTATTAAGATACATTTGAGCCAAATGAATTAACAAAGAATTTGAAAATAGGCTTGGATGTGTTTACTTAGATACATTCCCATTGACATTAATTATTACTAAAACTATTCTGGTTTGAACAATAACTTCATGAAAGAAAAAAAACAAAAGCCAAACCAATAACCCAAAACAAGAAATCCCTTTCCTCTTGTCTTGTACTAACCCAGTACACTAGATAACTTACTCTGACAGCATTTATGAAGTCCAACAGAGTAAAATCCTCTTTCCCATGAATTGTCCACCTGTCCCAGATGGTAAATGAAATCCCATTTCTGTTTTAAAAAATGAAAGGTTTTTCGTTACTTTAGAATGTGAACTCAGGCACTTCCTTTAAATGTGTCTTGAAGAACCACCGTGTCCTTTAGGAGGTGCTGTTTTATCTTGAGCAAAAATCTCCTCCCTCTCTGCTGCTGTTTCTCCAGCCTTCTTACCTTGCTAAGCACAAGACACAGTAAGAGCTCCAAGTAAACATGGTATCTGGCAATGAAGTTAATGAGCTTTCAGACCTACTGAAAAATAGCTCTTGTATTGAATAAGATGCAAAAGTGTCCAGGATGTTTCCTAAGAACAATGCCAGATGTCTAACTTCTCTAGATTTTTAAAGCCTCACGAGTAACAGCTTCCACTGAAAACAAAACTAAGCCCTTAAACCCACTATATTTTAAATTAGGATGGATGAGTATGTGCTGTATTTTCCAAAATGCTTGAGCAATGCAGTACTAAGAGGATCACTTACACTTTTAGCAGTATATGGTAAATTGATAACAGAGTGTGATAGCAAGCATGAAGTGATTCATCATTTTACAAGTTTAAAAAACAACAACAAAATTTTTAATATCTATGATGTTTAATTGAGTATGGTCATGAACTGTGGTTCCATCATAGCTTTGCTATGTGAGCACGTAAGGCCTTAATCTGGTTATCTGGATTTAACAACTATTCAAACTTCACATTTGTTTTAATGACTCAGCAAGTTTCAGCATCAATTAGCAGATTTCAAAATACCACCCTTGCCCTTCTGCCATTGTCCTTCCTACCTGATTTCCGTTCTTCTTACTTCAGCAGTTTCTGTAAAGACCATTATGGGAATGGCTAGGTTCAGAAAACAGTTCTTGTATGCATCAGCTGGGTAGCCACCCACAACTTTGATGAGTTCCAGTGCAACCTGCAGTAAATGAGAATTTACTTATTAGGTTTTAGGTACTGTGTAATCAGTATTAGTGTAGTTATAAGGCCAGCAACTACAGAGAAAGTTGTTAATGAGATTTGGCCTTTGTACAATCGGCAGAATAAATAACATCTGGAAATGCAACCCACTATGCCACAGAAATAAATTCTGTTGTTCCCAAGAGAAATACTTAAAACAGTGTTCCTAATGTAGGACTCTTTCAAAAACTGTTTAATTCAAGAAACCATCTCAAAGCTTGAAGTTCTGTTGAGATGCACAAATGTGAACTACTACAGAACAGATCCTCTCTACCCTTGGCAATGGCGCTCTGATGGAAGTTCTTATTAATGGCAGAAAACAAACCAAAATGCTGATTTCCAATTCTTTGTGTCCAGCAAATCAAAAAGAAAAGCACCAAAGGCTTAGCATGTTAAGGAAACTTCCCTGTCTGACCATCCAGGAGCCACTCTGGTAATCATGTTAACAGATTGTGCTGGGGCCGAAGCCCCTTCACAGCAGGTAGCTTCTCAGCGGGTGCCCTGCTTGACTCACTACCCATCCCACCCTCACAGTCTTCATTGGCTCAGCCCTGGGTTTCCCACAGCAGAGTCTCAGACCTCTGGTTCCTTTAAGTAATTTTATCATAGTACAACAACAGAGTAACAGCACGAGCTGGTGCCTCTGGAAAGAGACCCTAAACAAAGGACTATCAGGGCTTTTGTACCCTCACAGTCTGTGTGCTCAACAGTCCAGGGTCTTCCAAATGAGTCCTCAAAGCTCCTGCTGTGTCTCTTGAGTGTTCTTTCACCTGGCTGGAGCCACAGGTCCCCATGCCCTTTGTTGTCCAAAGTTCACGATCTCTTGCCTAGGGTTCTCGCCACCCTGAGCTCAAGCTTCTGCTGGCACTGCAGCTGCACACCTGCACTGAATGTGTTCCACAACAACCACATCTAGAACCAAACATGACCTTTTGTATTGGTACATAAGAAGTAAATCCATTTCTTTAAATGAGGCTCTGTCAGGGTAGCACTGTACCCACACAACAGTAGTTTCAGGCAAGAAAGAGTAAGAGAAATAAATATGCACTTAAAAAGCATACTCACCAGCCCTGATACTGCAGCAGTAGCTGTTGCAATGGCAGGAATAATCTTTCCTGCAATGCGCTTTGTTTTGAACCGATCTGCTGCTTCAATGTTGTACATCTTGGCTCGCAAGTTTGATGCGGCTGTTATGAAATCTACATGTCCATTACTATCATCATCTTTTTCAAAGGATATGGGCTTCATTTGCAAGTCAGCTGCTCATTAAAAAAGAGAAAAAAATATTATTAGAAAACTGAAAATGTCCTAAACATAGGAACCAGAATCTTAACAAAACAAAAATCTCACATCCTGGAGCTTGGTTTCTTACTTGTTTTCCTATACTAGAAGTAGAAATGCCCCATCAATACCACTTGTTAAAAGAGCGTAATAAGAGAAATATCAACAGAGCTCCATAATTTTATTTTCCTTGCAACACCAGGAATAAATTTTGGACAGTCCTTATACGCCCCACCTCACTATAGCTCCAACCTGTGAGAATTCCCTCTATAAGCTTTGTTTATCTGCAACCCTTTCACTATGGACTCAGTAGCATGGGAGTCCAGAGTTTTGGGTTGACACTCCAATGGATGTGTTAGAGATAACCTAATCATTCTCCTCTGTGTTCATGGGCTAAAAAAGCTGGCATGTAGTTTTTGCCCAATGACTTCTTCATGTGGCCAGGCACAAAAGTGGGATCTGAGCACTCTCATTTTAACATATCTAGAAGATGCTGAGGAAGACTCCAACAGACTTAAGGATAATTTCAGATTGATTCCTCTAAGTAGTAACTCTCAGCCTTCTCATACCAGAATTGTTTTCAATCCATCTGGGATCTAGCCAGCACACTTTCCCTCCTTAAGAGTTCATTTGCTGCTGCTGCCTGCTTGCTGTCATCAGTGTTGTAATTACATACAAGGATAACAGAGAGCCTCACAATTTGCAGGCATCTCAGAAATACAGAAGCATAAAGTAATGCCAAGCAACAGGGCGGATATCTGCATAGCACTTCAGAAGACTTTAGACACCAGCTCTGCTTCTTGCAGAATTAAAGACCTGAATGCCGCTACTGGCAGTGCAAATGCAAGACATTACTGAGCTATGAGGTCTCAGAAGTTTGCACTACTTACCTTCCAGAGCTTCATTGGATAGTATAGACTTCTCCAGCTGGAAAATAGCATTTCTTTCATCCTCACTGCTGACTGGAACATGATCTGGTTTTCTTGCGGTTTCATCAGTCTGTACAACCTGCAAGTGTGTGCAGTGCTTGAGTAATAAAATACATGAACTTCAGACAGCACGAGTGTCAAGTGTACTAAATTTTCTGTCTTCCCTGCAGTCTTTCCTCCTCAGTTCAAGAGAGACATAGATTTACTGGAGCAAGTCCAGCCAAGGGCCACAAAGATCATTAAAGGACCGGAGCATCTCTCATCTCTCCCCTCATCTCATGAGGGGAAAGTACAGAGAACACAGATAAACTCTTTTCACTGGTGGCCAATGACAGCACAAGGGGGTATGGGCACAAATTGAAGCAAACAAAATTCCTTAAGAAACATATAAAAATACTTTAAAGAAAAAAAACACAAAAAACCACAAAAAAACACCCCAAGCAAAACTGTGAGGATGGCTGAACACTGGCAGAGGCAGCAGAGAGAGGGTGTGGAGTCTATTCTCAGAAATATTCAAAACCCAACAGGATACAGTCCTTGATGACCTGCTCTAGCTGCCCCTGCTTGATGCAAGGGGATTGAACCAGACAGTCTCCACAGATCCCTTCCAACTTCAACCATCTGTGATTCCAAGTCACAATACCAGTTTGGCCTCATAAGGCAAGCATTCAAAAGACAAGTGTTAACACTGCAAGAAAATATGAAAACACCCTGGAATACTTGATAATTTTAAGTGGTGACAAATGCTAGCCACTGCACAATAATGTTTAAGCTACTCTGAAATTAACACTTCAAAAATAAACATAAAAGTAATGACACTTCCTTTATATTAGCTAGAAAGAAATGACAAATTGACACTAGTCTTGGATTGTTTTAAAGTTGCTTATGAGTAAAATTTTACTACTTTTATTAAAATAGTATAGACTCATGTAAACTTAAAAAAACCTTGCAAAGTTACAATCACACTCATGCATGGAAAACAATGGTATAACAAATCATTTGAAAAAGGCAATCCCCCTCCATCATTTTCCATTTAGCATCTGGTACATAGATACCATAGCTATACCAAGTTAAAGCAGTCCTCTATGCCACAGTCATATTTCCCCAAAAAGCATTATAATTTGTATTTATTTCTCATTAGCATTGATGCAAGAAGTAGTTGAAGATGAGGGACACTGTTTGTGGAATATTTTATTTTTTTCTTTAAACTAAATATCACACTTACTTTGTTTGAAGGTCTAAACTCTGGTACTTTCACAGCTGAAATAATACTCAAGATAGTTTCCTCTGACAAATCCTGTTAGGTTTTGAAGAAAAACAATTTAAATTCACATCAATGCAACAAGACTGTATATCCAGTAGCATTTCAAAGAACACCAAACCCAAAAAATCTCACAAATATTCAATGATGTTTCAGTCAAACATCACCATTAAAACACCAAGTGACATTTCAGTTACTACAGCCACCCAACTGGTGGGAAGTGCCTAGCACTTGAAAACTCAATAGAAGTGTAAATGTGACTTACAGGAAGTTCCAATTAGAAAAGAAAAAGGGTAACAAGAAAAACAAAGGATAAGCAACATAGAGGCTGTGAGTAGTACAAAATAAAAACCCCAGAGTGCAGCTAAGACACTTAATTGAAAAAATGCCTTATAGAGATCTTTTTTCAGTTCAGTAGCTATATTGCACAGGAAATAGGTGCATCAGAATAATAATTCCCAAGTTCAGTGCTTACTGAAAAGATCGAATACATCGCGCATTTCTTCTCCAGATTACAGATTCGAATATAGACGAAGAAGTGTAAGCAGTTGCTGAACAGCCAGTGCTGAAGGACAGATTACTTTAAGAATCACTTCAATCAGTTTTTGGAAAGAACTGACAACCACACATCAGGCCAAAGCTGAATACATACAACTAAGTTATGCACTGGGAACACTGTTACAGTACATGGATTACCTTTTCAGTGAAAGGAACACAGTACACTGTTGCGAAGAGTTTTGCTGCACTCACAATGAAACCATAGTGCCTAAAGAAAAGAGAAAGATTTTTGGTTGGTTAGTGAAAGTATGAGACAACTCACCAAATTTGCCACAGATTTGTAAGACTGTGCACTTACACCCATCGATACCAGTTCAACTTCTAGCGCTATAAAGCCACTGCCTTGCACTTTCTGCTGTAGTTTGAGTTTTATAGATGCTATAAAACATCTAGAAAGCATCTGTGGCAGTACTATACTTACAAAGGATCATTAAATTCAAACTTCACTGGGAAAGGTGGCCTCTTTGGTGATTGCCAAAACAAACCTGTTAAGAAGAGAGAATTAAGATGAAACCCTAAGTAACCAGGAACAGCAACACATGACGTATGCCTTGAATTCACAACAGGCACAAGGGGGCATTTGCACTTACTTCCATCTTTTAATCGTGTATCAAGGGGAAAGGAATGAAGGAGCTGAAGAGCCTAGAGGAAAAGTCAGAGTAGCTCTAGTAATTTGTCATATACAGATGGACATGACCACACTAAATCAAACCTTCTTTTTAGTAATGACATGAAATCTCGATACACTCCAAATCACAGCTGAAGTAATTCAAAGAGTTAAGAAAATCTAAAGAAAACTGTGTCAAGACAGACAGCTAAAGACAAGTACTACTGGACAGCAACTTGCCCATTCATTCACAGACAATGATGACAATGTCACCTCATCTGTACAAAGTCCAAACAAGACACTTAATCCAAGAAGCAAAACATTCCCCCACCCTATTGTCACTTTAAGATTATTGCATACAAATTCACAATTGGGAATGCAACATTTTGTCAATGTGACAATTACCACCAGGGCTTCCATAGGCACAGGTATGCTTATCAATAAGCATACATCTTTCCTACAAAATTATACACATACTTTAAGCAACACTGTGGACCAGATTCTCAGAATGACTGGCTCTTATTTCAGACAACCTTTGAGAAAATCAGGGTTATGAAGCTGAGTTCAGTAACAGAAGTTTAGTGCAGGAAACAAAAATCTGTTGTCCTTTAGTGAAAGACATCTGATAATCTCACTGTTTTGGAAAATACAGTACCTAGTAAGCTGGAAAATTGCCAAGAAAACTGCTTGGAGACTACTGAACAGAGCTACTAGAGCGAGTTAATAAACCAGACCTAGAAGTGCTACAGTACAAAGGGATGCAGCATTTTTACATTTCAAGTACCTCTCATTATTTATGAAGAAATGGAAGTGAGTGCCTAGATTTGGACACCTAGTTATTAGAGCTACCAAGTTTTCTAAAATCCTCATCAGTCCAGTGCCACCTCATTCACAGGTCTTACCTACCTTATGGCTAAAATACTTCTCAAATTTTACTCTTGCTAGTTCTACACATTGAGTCCAACTTCGGGGTCTTCTACTGAGCGTTTTAATAACATGAAAACAGCCTTCTAAGCTCTCTCCTGATTTTATTCTCTAGATAAAGAAATATGAAAATGTTAAAACAGACAAGATTCCTTCAAATCCAGTCAAACAGTAAATATGTTTTTAGTAATCCATAGGCAAAAGGAAACAGAGGGTCAATTTGTGAAATATTATCCCTTATGTGATCCTCTTCCTGGGTTTTTTTCCCCAGGTGCTGTGGTCTACTTGATTTACTTCCACCCAGCCCTATGGACCACAGGCTATGACAGTCACAAGAAAAGATAGTAAACATTTGAATCTAATTTATTACATAGTTGAATTCACTTCAAACTCAGTGTATTTTTTCCAGATAATTACACATCAGTGTGACCTATACTAATCACACGCTAGCAGTGCCTCAGTCCTTCTGATATTTCTACATCATGTACAGAGGATGTGAGCTAGAGACACTTTTAATTATGAAACACACCAGAAATACTGTTCATCTGATGATCAGCTAACGACTTGGCCAAAAAAGTCTTTAGGTTTTCTGGAAAAAGTCAGAAACTAACCCAAATCTCACGGAATTTAAATAGGAACAAAATCCATAAAGCAGTAGTTTAAACCCTGTATTTTACCCTGGCAACATTCCCTTACCTGTAAAACTTCTTCTGCTGATGCATAGGTTTGCCAGAATTTGTTAAACAAAGAAGGCTTGTGAGAAAACGAACTTTCAAACTATAAAATAAAAAGAACAGATATGGTATTTTGCAAGAAGTATATCAGACCCCTCACCTTTCCAAATACACATTTAGTTATGCTGAATCCCAGTAAGCTTATTCCATTACCTTATCTCTTGCCCACTGTATTGTATGCTCAATGGCAGCTGGGAAAGACTTCAAGGTGCAAAAAGGTATTTCTTCTTCCGGTGGATCCCGCTGTAATTAAGGAAGGTTGCATGTAAATGCAGACTTATTAAAGTTTATTGCTAATAATAGCACCAAAAACTTCTAGACTATAGGTTTAAAACTCCGCTCTTGTAATATACAAAATGGCTTATTTATGCTTAGAAATTTGCTTTATGGACACTAATATTATCACTTCCTCTGTATCAAGAATTGTCCAAACTCAACCCTGGAAAGGAAAACTGAACTCTAAAACACAAACAACAGGTCAGACTGCCAGTCAGCTTTTCCAAGATGTGCAGTCCACATTCACATACACTCTCAGCATGAAATGCACCCTTTCATACAAGGCCAGAAAGACTTCTTTATAGACACCAGCAAGACTGTTAGGATGCTCAAAATCCTGCCTCTGTGTCCACATGGCATCATTGTACAGTGTTCTCAACCAGTGAATTTCTACCTTATAAAGGCTGTGTTATAAAAACTTAAATAGAGGAATATTGCAAGAGCTTGAACGTTCATTTTCCCCTGTCCCGTTCAAACAGAACTGTTCTGTGTGCTTGTAAAGAACTGCTCAAATTTTATTTCCTTTTCTTCAGAAATCAAGGAAGTAATTTCTTTCCTAATAATACTGTTCTTCAGCAGCTCAAATAGGCCACTTATTTTAAACAGACACATAAATGATTAAAGAATCAGAGGGCATTATGGGACTAACTACAGAAGGTGCGCGATGGTCTTAAAACACTTACGTGACTATTATAGGACTCTGTCAGATGGGGCACAATAACTTCTGTGTGTCCTTTTGTTCCCATAGTTCCAGAGTCTATAAGAGGACGCAGGTTTGCTACACAACGACTGACATGGAAAGACACAGACTATCAGCACACAGCGTAATCACTACACTCTTGTCTTGCAGACGTTACTGGATAGTAACCAGTTGTCTCTAGGCACTTTTAGAGGAGTGGAAATCTTACACCAAACTCAGGAAGAAATTAAATAAGAAGAGCTATTCAAGTTAGATCAGGATACCATAAACTTGAGCCTATGCAGATTATGAGCATTAGAAATTATTTTTCAATGTAAACATCTCTATTTTTATATTTTAATACATATTTTTATGCACAAATAATTCAGCTTTCAGACCGCCACAGTATTCTCCCACTCATCAGAACTTAACAGCTATTCAGTTTCAAGAACTCACTCCAAGGCTTTCTACTATGTGAACAGTAGCAGTTGCACAATAGCAGAGTTGGTTTCCACCTTGAGTATAAACCTCTTCCTCCCCCCAGCCTATAAAGGAACAAGGTAAATCAGAGCAATTTGCTATCAAATCTTATAAGCAGTTCCAAGTCAGGAAGAATAAGAACAGAAAAGCAGAGCTCACATAGAGCATGAAAAGCAGCCCTTGCTTCCTTTCCACACCCTACCTATCAATGTATCTCCTTGCTTCAACATTGTCCAAAGCGGTTACAATCACATCTTGCTTGGTATAGAATTCATCACTGTAAGTATTCTCAGTGGCTGGACAAACTTTATTAATATCTGAGTCAATCTTTATGGAAGGATTGATGTTCAGAGTTGCTTCTGCTGCAGTATAGCTCTTAGGTTTCTGAAAGTATGAATACAGAGATATATATAACTATGACACTGAGACTGAGATAAAGAACAATATTGAGATAAAGAACATATTAGACACACAAATATTGACTTCATTTGCTGATCAAACAACAATTCTCTGACAGAAATGTTAGTATGCAAAACATAGAATACAGGAAATTTTTTAATCATATACCTCCCTCATTGATATATATCTTATTAATATAGGAGTTTTTTATTTTTAGTTTTGAAGTAGTGTGCCAGAGATCAAATGGTGGAAGTGCTTGAATGGTGCAGAAGTTTATTGAGTAACTAAAACTGATGCCACATGCTGCCTCTCATGCTCTCAAAATGCCCTAAGAAAGGAGCAGTTCATGACTGTCAGAGGATAAACCCATTAGTAACTGTGACCATGTCTATGCAGCATAGACATCAAACACCTGCGAATAATCACATTACTGCAAGGTAATCCATACAAAGCCAATTTCAGAAGCTAAACTGAGAGTTCTTAATCTACCTGATACTTCTAGCCATACTACATTCAGTTATCTAGGGATCAGCACTCAAGACAGTGTGGCTTCTGAAAGCTTGAAGGATTCACATTCCATTTATCTATCTATCCAAAGTGTAACCTGTTCCCAGATTTGCTACACATAAACAGGAGGCAGAAAATTCAGCTGCTGGGTTTTGGGCAGGGGAAACCTTTTTCCACATTGTTGTCAAGATCTGAGCCACCTTTTTTATTTTGTGCTGTGTTTGCAAGTTCAAGGATGTTCTCTCTGCTTCTAAGGAATTAACAGCTGTGTCATGCACTTACTGAATGTACTTTTTTTTTCAAAGATATTTATCAGCTTAATGGAGACTGAATGAAGTCAGAAGATAGCAACTTTGGTGAAGTTCCATCAGCAGTAGCACTACTGAGGTCTATTGAGAACACTTCTGCCAGCACTGTCTGCTTTCTGTTGTTTTATTTTCCCTGAATTTCAATGCTATAGTAAAGTATTTCTGACATACTAACCCGTGGTAACTTCTTATGCAACACAGCACTCCTGATTGTCAAGTCTGAGGGATTTCATTAGTCAGACACCAGTACACATTAAGATTAGATGATCCAATTTTGCTCAACTGACACCAGTGATAAGTGGGATGCCATTGGAGTTCTAGATATTGTTTTTTAAAAGCTTGGATTTCATTATAGCCTTTAAGTCTTTTCTAGACAGAAGTACAGACACTCACAATTCAGCTCGCTGTGAAGACACAGGACAGGGAAACACAACAATAGTCCAGAAAATTTACTGAATAAGAAAGCCTACCTGTATGTGATGAGGTCGAAAAAGAAACTGCCTGTTCAGATTGGATTTCTCTATCAAGTCTGGATCTGTAATTGTAACCTAAGTCAGAAGGGGCAAAAGCAACAGCTGAAGTTACAACTTAAGTGTAGCACTGAGCAATGATACTGATGCAATCTCTACAGACACTTTCAAAACAAAGCACTGCTGTTGGCATCAGTTCTGGCTAACAGCTCTGCCTATCCTGACTGATTAAATTTTGTTTTAAAATCAAAATACAGAAGGACTGTATTTTATGTGTTCTGTTTCTAATTGCACACTTCTTCCACTGTATGCCAAGGCCATTGTACCCTCTGCACAGAGATCAACTTGAAATAAGACTCAGACTTTTAACATTTTTAGTAATTTATTTAATTATTCCTTATCACATTACTTTTTAATAAGAGAAGCAAGGTTAACAGGTGACTTACCAATCCTTTGTCTTGCCCAGTACCAACACCAAGAAGTGCAAAGTTTTTTAGCATTTCACAGCCTATCGCTCCACAGCCAACCTAAAGAAAATCACAATTTAAGTCAGATGCGTAAGTGAAAACCATGAAAACAAGTATAATAGAGAAGTCCCATTAAAATTTTGGACCATTTATTCTGTAATGGCACACATCAGAACTACCCTCATTATTCTGAAGACAGTTGACATTAGTTGTATCAACAAGGCACTTGCAAAAAGTGTGTCAGTCATACTCACCAAGAAAACATTCAAATCATGGAGCTTCTGGCACAGAGAGTCTCCAATACAGGCCCTCAAGGCATCATACCTATCTCCCCTATGCAGGCACAGGAGATAAAAACAAGAGAATAGCAAGTTGCCATTTATCATGGTAATACCATTGATGCCAAACTGCACTTTGACATAATTAAAAAAGTCAGATGGAAGCTATCATTCCTGTTCCTCCAATGCTCAAATAGGACATACATTCTTAACTCCAAACCCATTCAGTGCTGCAAACAGCACTGAATTAACTTTAGAAGACATCTTCCGTGCCTGCTTGAGACTCAGATCTGTACATAAGCCAGTAGATTGTAGTTGTATTTACCGTGGGAGAAATTCTTCAGAGCCCACCTTCTCTAGAGGCGTTACAATGTCTAACACATCTATATATAGCTGCAAAAAACAAAAAAAAAACCAAAAAAAAAAACCTGTGAAAAATAGTAATGTTGTTTTAATTTTAAAAACTATTTTCTATGAACAACAGTCTAGAAATTTAGAAACACTAAGTTTTTACTGTCAGCGGAAGACTATACAGCATTTGGTACCCTACTGTTTATTTCAGGAAAAAAGCAGGAAAAAGCAACTAGACACAGAGGGGAAAAAAGCTCACTCAAATAGGTGAGCTGCAAGGACAAGCATGTTACCCCTCCAAGACTGTGATGTTTTTTAATCTAACTGTACTCTGATATTTATCCTCAGAGTCTGAAAGTACTGTTCTTATGTATAGTAGCTTAAGCTGGCACCTGCCCTATATCACACCTTTGCAGCCATGAACTAACAAGCCAATGCTCTCTTTGCTTGTGTGAAAAAATGTGCTGTGTGAACTCCAGGTACAAAAAATTTTAATAAAACTGGCTGTACTTTTATTGTACACATAAAAACATTGTGTTTTTTACTAAATTTAGCCTTGAGTCTTTTTTTTTGTTTCCATGTTATAGAAGTTGTTCAGGTTATTTTGATCATACAGCACTTATACACAACTATCCATTCATAATATGTCAAAATAAACATCCAAAAACAAAGACAGTCTTACCCACTGCTGCAATGGAGAAAATTTTCCCGTTACTGCTTTCAAGACTTCCTGGCTAGCAACACCACCCACTGCTGCAGCCAGAGGAGGTAGAAATCCCTGAGCAGTCCGAGACAGCCATTTTACCACATCACCATTTACCTGAGGCTGAAAAGTAAGACATGGTAACAAATTTATCCCCTCAACGAGCAAAGTCAGTTCTTGACAGATTCACAGATTATTATTCTTCAGCAAAAGACAAATTATTTCACTCTGACTAGCAAAAAAGTTTCCAGCCAAGACAGATCTACCATATATCCTGCATTTGTCATATGCATTTGTTTAAAAACTGGATTCATATAGCCACAGGATTCAGCCTTCATGTCAGGTGAACATTCAGCTGAACCCTGCTGAAACACCATTCTGTTCCCTTGCATGGCCTTCAGAAAGCCAGCTGATCCATCTAAAGATGGATCCAGAGACCAGAACAAGGACCAACAACTAAAGCATGACCTTTAGGCAACTAAATAAGCACATTAAAAAATTATTTTTAATGACAATGATTCCTTACTCACTTTATTTTCCAGTGTTTCACTTATAGACATGGCTATTTTCAGCATTTCCTCAGCATCCTGAAGGCATCTAGACATCAGGGTAGAAACAATAATGATAACTGCTTCTAGAAACATGATCAATGGAAGAAAAAAGCAATGCGTACAGTAGGAAGAGTCTGGAAATTTACATTGTCTTTAACGGTGAGCATTAAAGATGTACTTCTAAACGTTAGAGTTAGCTCAGGAACAAGAGTCTCAGTGTAAAAGCCCACGTACAAGTAGAGTTTTAAGATTTACACTTTGTAAGTAGTTTTGCCTCATTTAGCTCAAAATTATGCAAATAAAGAACTACAGCTGAATAAAAAAATACTGAAAATGAAAACCAAATCCTTCAGATCTTTTTTTTTTTTAACCCATACACTACAAGATAATTCAGGATCACTGAAACAACTCTTCCATATTAATCACACAATGTGAAAAAACAAGAACAGAGAAGGCCTTCCTCCATAAGCCATTTCTGTCTACCTGTGACCAGAAAATGTCATTGCTACATTGGGAAGGCCCTGTCACACACCCAGATGCATGCAATAGGTAACATTTTTCATCTAGATTTCAACTTTTCATTTCTGTGGTCTATTAAAGTACCAGACAGACAAGGTACCCTGCTACACATCAAACCAGTAACTAGAATAAGAGGAGAGATCTGTCTGATACAAGGCTTAGCAAAGACAAAACTGCTGCATTACCCAATGTTCGGTCTGCGACCAAAGTTCTCCTGGAAGTGGTTCAAGGCAAGCATGGCAACATGGATCTGCAAAGGAGTCTGTTAAGACAACAATAACTGTTGATCAGTTACAAACTAGAGAAAAATTAAAGAAACAAAAGCAACTATTTGAACTCTTCTGTTACTATTTCACTTCCTTGTCTCTTAACCACAATGCTCAAAAAAAGTTTTTAAACAGCATTAAAAAGTGAATTTGAAATACCTTACACTAACGTTTTTACAAGAATTATTACTCAGTGGTAATGTAATACCCTTCAAGCACATTCAGCAGCCATTTCAACGAAGTCCAACTGAAGAGTCCTCAAAAGAATTTAGTGCTGAAATTGGAAAACGAAGTAATCTTCTTTTAACTAGACATTATAATGCATTGCATTTTGTCAAGTGTCAATAACAATGCCCAGCATCAAGGGTGAAAAGTAGAAAATCTTAATAGGTAAGTCAGAGCCTATATTATCATACAAACAAAAAAAAATCATTACATCAACATTGTTTAGTTTAAAATTTTAATAAGCCAGCGACTTACAAGCCTTCCATGTCCATAATACTTATCTAAAAGTGCAATAGAGGCAAATACTGCTAGTGTCCTCTCACAGATTTTAAAAAGATCTCTGAATCATTTTTTTTCAAAGAAATAAAAAAAAAGTATCCTTACACTATTAATTCCAGTTTCCAAACCACCTATGACCACCTTTTTATGATTTTCCCAGCTTTGATATCAGTGTGATTTCTTTCAACTAATATTATTAAATATAGGAAAAAAATTATTGTGTCGCTTGCAAAATTTCCACTCTCCTGAATTAAAGACTTACCAAAAGCTGAGATTTTAAACAGCAAAGGTGGCTGAGCTGTGCATTTACAACATACTTGTTGCAAATCATGGATAACAAGCCTCTGTGGTGATCTAAATCATAATGTAAATTCTGTGTGACTACACAAACTGATACCTCACTCTTCACACTTTAAAATGGTATTTAATTAATACAGAATAGTTAGGAAATTATATTATTCTAAACATAAAGCTACAGATGACAACATGTAGTTTAAATATTAAAGCACTTATGCCCATATCCCCACATTCTGATTACCTCAGGCTTGCTAAAATCTGCAACAAGGCATAATGGATTTGTTATCTGCTTCTCCAACCGTTCCTGGAAAAATAGAATTCATGACAACAACACACTACTTAAGAACACAACAGTAGCTGCTATCTGAAAAACAATACTCTTTCTGTAGAGACTAAGAAACAAATCTTTTCTTACTAGCATTGCTATTACTCTCTATTATTAATCCACAAAAGATGCTTAAAATAATCATCTACTGCAAGTTCTGTCTATCAAAAAAGGTCAGAGAGAGGTTTCACATCCTAGTGTCAAGACTCATCTTCAAATGGGTGCAATTTTTGGGGTTGTCCTGTACAAAGCCACGAGATGGGATTCCATGATCCCTGTGGGTCCCTTCCAGAAAAGGATATTCTATGATTCTAGGAAACTGCTCTGAGGTCAGTTACCAGGGATTTTATTGGCAACTGGCTGTTTGCTTGCAGAACTTCCCCACTCCAGAGGAACAGGAAGTTACTGCTTCACAGAGATAAGATACAGTGTTGTGCATTCTCACATCAGAAGCAGCTGGTCCTCACTCCCAGCTCTTTAGAAGAATGTTTGAGGGCAGTCAGGATCTACTTTCTGCAGGCCCATAAAGGCAGCATGTGTATTGCAAGCCCTCTTACACAAATTCACCCAGTTGTCTCTTCTCAGAAGGCCACCAATAAACCACATATTTGTAGACCTTTCTGAAGCCTATCCCAGTGTTAGGCTGCCCATAATTATTTTTTTTCTCTACAATGGTAGGTAACTTTGAAGTATTTCCTATTCTCTGTCGTTTAATAAATCAATATCACTATTCTCATTCAATAAAATTAAGTGAACCGAAATAACTGTTAACAAAATCATGTATCTGCTGAACTCTGTTCCAGTGCTCAGAACATTAACGCTCAAGAACTCAGCTATGTCAAGCACACACTTACAAAGTAAAACATCTTGGGAGTCTTCACTTGCACAGCTATGCCTCCGTGTAAGTAAGGCTCCATTTCTGATGTATCACCAATGCTGAAGGAATAAGGTGACACCACTGAAAAGACAAGAGAATAAATAGTGACTGATAATTCAAAGTGTCATTGGATACTACAGTTCTGTATACAACAACGTGGGGTTTTGCCAGTGCTTTTTGTGCTGTAATTTTGTAGTGTGTAACCTTGTTTTGAAAGCATAAAACACAGTTGATCCTCGTAACAGGATTGTCCCTCTGCCAGTTTCTGGGTTAAAGTATTAGTTTCACATGATCTGTTATGAAATGACCTTTTTTAAGTGGCAGCAGATTTAAAAAGAATTCTGATGACCACAGCTCTGTAACAAAAATGAAATCACACTCAGTTTTATTTACACTGTGCACAGCAGTGTCCAGAATATTGCTCAGAGTAGGATTTTAGCCCTGTGATGAGAAAAACAGGAAATCAAAAAGGGCAGTTGGACCATTTTGTCACATCTTCCCCCTCATACACGTGAAGCATGGTTCAGACAAAAAGACACAAAAAATGTTAATCCATTAACATTAACAAAACTGAAAACAAAAGCTAGGCCACGATTAAGAAGAAGAAACTGGCCACAGCATCAGCACTAGCAAAAACACATGGGTCCAGAGAAAAAAGATTCAATCACATGTTCCAAGGGTATTGTTTTTTGCCTCAGATCACAAAATAGTTAAAAACAACCAACCAACCCCCACCCACTTGCTCTCTCTTCTCCTCCGAACAAACAGGCATTTTGATCTGGGAACTGCAAAATTCCCCAGCATCCAAAAGGAACCAAGTAGTATGCCTTGAGACATGCACACTACAAGCAGAACAAAGCAGAGTAGACATAAATAATGAAAATAATTTCGAAAGCATGCTTAGAATGAGAGCCATGTCAATGCATTGCTGTACACTTAAACTGTCACCCAAAAAACCTACAAGGCAAACAGTGACACACAAAGTGGCATCCAAAACCATGACAGAAACACAGGCATTACAGGACCCTCCAAAAACCAAACCAGTTTCATCAGCCAACTAATGATGAAAGCTCAGAAGCTGCCAACTAGATTCCACTGGCTAAGCATTTCCATTGGCTCCTTAAGTGGCAAGAGTTAACTCCTCAGTGTTTGGAAAGACTTTACTAAATGGAAATGGAGTCAAGATAACACTAGAAAGAGCTTTGTACCAAAACGCAATTTTTTTAATGCAAGCTCACTGGAGGTCTGCATAATCCAGCACTCCTCTGGCTACAGTAACTAACATTACAGTGAGCTAAACCAGGCCAAAAAATAAATACCTACCAAATGAGTCAGCAAGTTTACCTGTTATTTGGTGTGTAGATCCATTTAAGCATGACATTCCATTAACTTCCCGAAAGGTTAAGAACTGTCCTGTTTCAAGCCTGTGTGGATGATTTTCAAGGCAAGTGACAATACCAGGATTTGACTGAAATAAAAAATGGCAAAGTTAGCAAGGAGGAAAGCATCTTGTGCAAAGGGGTCATTTTTTATTGTAGGCATATAGCTTTTTGGCTACTGAAACTGCAGACTAATACTTTTTACACCTCATTTCTGTCATAGTAAGAGAGTTACCTATGACAACATTTCCAGTCCTACTACTTTCAATTTAAGTGTTTCTGTAACACAAACTTCCTTATTTTCACTGTTTACAGGTCTCAGCATGTTTGCAGACTCCATTTGTTATTTCATACCAAATTCATTGTTCTGTTCTGAAATGGCAGCAAATTTATATCTGTTTTCCAAACCAAAAGTACACTACATGTACAAAGAAATTTTCACAGGCACTAAGAAATAAAGTCTTGTGAATGGTCCTTATTACTCCATGCTTCCTTTCTGTCTGATCTCCTTCAAAAAGACACCCCAAACTCATTCTTGAAAGTCAGGAAGTTTACAAAGCTGGACATCAGCATACAGGATACACAGCCTCAGCAGATCACAAAAGACTGTATGTGCCACAGTTTCTTATAAAAAGAGCTCTTTTCATGCCTATTTCAGGGCTTCCTTAGAAGATTTATCCTAATCCCACTTAAATTATGTCCTCTTCTCTCTACATCTCATTTCTTTCTCTCTCTCCAATTAAAAAATAAAGGATTCAGTACTGTGATGTTACATTGGCAGTAACAACCAGGAGGTATCAGTATGCTCTACAATGTTAACATGGTTGGTTTTGATTGAGACACAAGAATGAAGTAACTTTGTTTGCCTCTGACATACTGCCAATTTTAAACTGCTTTTTCAAATAGCCAATAACAAGTCATTATTAAAAGAAAAGAAAAGCAGCGCAACAACTTTCTTCCCTTACCTGTGTTATATTTGAAATGAAGATCTCCTTTGGCTCTTCTCCCGTTGTATCCAGCACTTCAAATTCATCACCAAAGTCACAAAACAAACGTGAACATACTCCATATACATCTGCACTGATAAACTACAAGAAAAGGTAAAAATCATTAGTATCCCTAGAACAGCACAAGTCAAAGGAATGATGCCTTACATCGAACCTTGATGAAGGCTAGTAGGTTTAACTTCTGTGGTGGAAACCTGTCATGTACTTAGGCCACTGACTACATAGCACAGCATTCACAACAGACTTTGAACTTGCACAAGCATTTCTGAACCCATACACAAAAAACAGGAATCACACCAATACAGTGAAATATTGCCATTTCTACTACTGTTACATTCAATCTCAGCACATTCTTCAGTCTCAGCACAGTCCTTCAGAACAATTGTGAGTTAACAGTGAAAACTATTTCTTCAACACTATTTTTTTTTCAATTAAGAACCAAGCTATGGTTATCTGTAGTGGTATCCAGATAATACCAGACACACATACAGAGTAGCAGCATCATATTTCCAAAACTTCTACTGCTCTATCAACATGCCATCTGCATAGAATATAGACCTCATAACCAGCTTTCTTCATTTTTGGAAAGAACATGCTGGAGGTTCAGAATGCTCATTGTACAGATTATTCACATCCTTCATTTTTTCTGTTACCTTGATAGGTGGCTGCTGAGCATGACAGAAGTCATTAATCTTCTTCTGCAGCAACAGACTTACTTCAGTCAATATGACACACTGTGAACAAGAACAGAAATACTTCTACGACACTGAAAGCAATCAATATCTTCAGGCTATGGAAAAAGTAGTACTAAGAGTAAGTTACTCAGGTGTCCTGACTCCTATCCCCCACACATAGCAGAGACAGCAGTCCTGAGGAAGTTCTCTCATTTGAACAGGCTGGTTACTGCTTCTCAAGTTCTGAAAACAAAATGAGTAAGAGTAGGAACAGCAAATTCTCTTTTTTTTTTTTACTGCAGCTGTGAAACTCAAAACTTAATTAGAACATTTACCAAAACAATTATGGATAATCTCAGCAAAAATGCAGATCTTTATTTTAAGATTAAAGCTAACAAAACAGACACAAATTATACTCATCAGTGCACACCAAGAAGTCTACATAAGCTTCAAGTACTGGCGCTCATAGAATTGCAGACATACAATTTCTGCAAGCATTCTTTTAACATCTAGGATAGTATTGGGTCCCAGTTACACATGGCTTATTGTAGCTGGGACATTCAGAAACTTGGTGTGCTTGCGTATAAATGCCAGCCATACTGCAAAGGCTCCCCACTGTTCTCCTGCACACAGGCAGGAGATAAGTGACTGACCAACTGCAAACATCCCCACTCCACCACAGAGGTGCTTGCGTTTCATTAGATACATACATACATAAATGATCTTTCTAATTATACAGCCTGTGTTTCTACTGCCTGGAATACAGCACACAGAATATATGTAGAGCATCTGTGCTATGCAGCTGCAAAAGAAGGTCACAGTTTCACATTCAAACAAAAAAAATTGTATGACAACCCCACTTAGCTATTTATTGTCATAGTAAATTCAATAATAAGTGTCATAAGAAAGTGCTAGGAACAAACACTGCTTCAGCCTTGGAAAAAAACAAGCACAACACTTTCACTGGTATAAATACAAGACCTACTTCTTTCTTTATAATCCCCTCAGTATGTACTTTAAAGTTTCTCATTTTATTTACTTCCATAAAAAAAACCCAAAGTCGCTTGCTCTGAGCCAAATACACATACAACTGCTTTAAGAGTGACATACCTGGTACTGCTTCAGAAAAGACAGATCTGTGGTTTCATCTAGTGGCACAGTTGATGCCGCTACATGGACATATGGATTGAGTTCTGCAATATGATGAAGTGTGGCCTCAGCCCTGAAAGAACAGCAATTTTCATATTTTTTATATAACTACAAAATATATTTTCAAGACAGAATTTCATTCCACGCATGCCCTACAAGAGTCCCTCATGAAGTTCCCTGGCAACAGTCATCAACTCTTATTCACACTCAAATTCCTAGCAGGTATGAGAAAAAAACAGCTCTGTCCAATATACAGCAGGACTCACTGATGGTCTGATGTCACGACTGTTGTATAGTCTTGTACGGGTGTCTGAGAAAGCCCAAGGAAGAAATGTACAGTGGCCCCCACCATTAAATTCACATTACAAGCTCACAATAACAAGAAATGAGATGTGTAACTCAGAACCTCAGTCCCAATCTAGACTTCCTCTAATATCTACCTGGGCACTGTACTTGAGCCAGCAACTCCAGGCTAAGGGTTTAACAGGTATTTGATATGTATTAGTAGCTCTTGGATAATGAAATGTTACTTTTGACATTGATGAAACTGTTACTCCTAGTCAAGTTCAGTCCTCCCTCACTCCAAAGACTTCACCAACCTGTTCCTTTGATTGGTAACATCATCTTCGTGGATGAAGAAGTTGATCCCCAAATCCCATTTAGTGCAGTGCTTAGTGTCATGAACTGTAAGAGCCTAAGAAAGTTCAGCAAAAAGCATTTACTGGAAGAAGTGTACATGGTCACAGCACCCAAAAAGATGGATTAAGTCCCACATAAAATGCTGGAGGACCAGCAGTACAGAAGATTTAGTTGTAGCATGTATACAAACAAGCTCTTCCAGCCTCTTTCCCAAGAAAACTCTTACTCTTTGAGAGACAGAAACACATATCCAATATGCACTTCATTAAGCATTTCCCTCACAGTTTGCTGTGATGACAGCATTTAAATATCAAAGATGATTTTTGCCAGACTGTGATACAGAGGCAATTGTGATCTGTAAATTAACGGACTCAGAAGCTTTTTTTATATGGGAAGAAAGAATTTTAAAAGGCTTCTCTAATAAAATTAATCCCAGCAGCACATGAGCAGATGTTAGATTAAAACACTCAACCATTCTAACGACTACACAAAAGGATTCTGATGGATGACAAAATAGGATAATGTATTTTGAATAGCTTGGCTTTTGAGTTAATATCACACTATTTAGGAGAAGCCACTTCGTACGAAAGTATTCAATATCTGATCAGCAGCTGGATAAAATATTCTACGAGTTATTTCATAGTGCAGGGGACATTAACGTGAGAATCTGACCACACCACTAGAACATCCAGATAATTGAAAGTTTCCACTCCCAGGTTCTCAAATGTTTTGCAGTCCTTCTACTGAAGAACAGATTCAGAAACCTAAGATTAACTAGGTAGTGTTGTGCCTTTTTCTCGTGCTCACCCAAGAAGATCCAACAACAGAACTGTTTTACATACCTTTACCCCAGCCAGAATGATATTTTTGGCTGAAACAAAACAAAAACAGAGTTAGGGACTGTTGTAGGTTTCTTGTAAATCTGTAACTGGATAGTTATGTAGGTGGACAATAACAGTATGTCATTGTTAAGAACTTCATAGCTTAACTTTTTTTTCTCTTTTACATTTGGCTCAAGCATTCTACAGCACCACTGAAAGCAAAATAATATGTGCAAGGTTAAAAAAGCTCTCTACATTTGTCGTTTGTCAGCTGTTCATCCCACAATTGTGTGATTACAGAGATACTAATGCCAATAAACTGCAAAACCCCATGACTGTTCTGGTATCTGGTGCAGAGAACCATTACAGCCAACTGAAGAGGTAACACCCCAGGTACGAACCAGCCAAGACATGTCTTGTTCATAAAGAGTAAGGGAAATTGTTAAGGAGTTTCTTGCACCAGGACAGTATTTTTCACCAAATTGCACTGTTCTCCTACCTCCCACCCTCCCATTTCCTACCCGAGGATAATTTGGGCTACAGCTGTTCTGTACTACATTCATTTATACTGATGCCTAAAGGAATAACTTGAATTATCTACCGTAAACCTTCACCCAAGACACAAGGTTTCGGGTAAAGCAATCTGGCCCGTGGAAGCACATTTTAAAGTAAAATTTGAAATGTTGTTCTAGTAAAATGATAACTTAAGTCCAGGATCGTTCCTGCATCTGCTATGTTAGTCATGTGCATCATGCACATATAAATTCACCCAGATACTTCAGATATGTTTATTATATTTAAAATTAAGGTCTACAAGAATTCTGTGATAGTCTATTTACATACACTTGTGTCTCCTTAAACAAATGCTATCTAACTTACCAATCTCCACACCAAGACCACCTATACCACTCAGGAATACATGGGACTGAGCCATCTTCTGCATTGCTGTGTCTCCAAGAACATACCTCTGACGACTACAGCAAAGATAAATTCAGATCAAAACACAATAGAAACAAAGTTAAGAGCATATTAAAGCAAGTTGAGAAATCCTAGTAATTAAAAAAAAAGTTCAAATGTTTTCAGTTATTCTATTATCCTAATAAGTCCCTAATCTGCAATAGCAAGTTCTGCAGGTGAGTGTGCATCATTAGTGACACACACACAGTTCTCTTTACCAACCCTCCATCCAACACACAACTGAGGACATAAAATGTGTATCTGAACTCTATAGTTCTTCAGGAAATAAATGCAGATCAAACATAATACTTGCACTCACAATCCATGTAGTGAAATGCATTTAGTACAGAGCTTGTCAGCGCCAGGCTTTAGAGAATATAAATAACTTTTCATTTTAAATCAATGCGAAACTTCTTCAGGATTATAGTTTTGTGCAATTAACTACTGAAGACACAAGCAAGCAAGTAAAAGAATTTGTTATCAGAAAACTTCAAACCAGAGAATGTCACAGCTGAACTCTGAAAGACTCCTAGCTTCCAACTATACAATTAAACCATTCAAAACACCACCTTTTTCACCAAGGAAAAGCATGACTTTCATGAGACTACTGCCAAATAGTGTAGTGATACTTACACCACCAGAATCACTGCACTAAATTAAAGAGAAGCTTAATTTGTTCAGCATACAAGTATTTTAATTTTTTTTTAATATACAAAGAAGCTTTTCATCCCACCACACTTCCAGGGATGCCATTTGTTCCAGTAGAGATTCTCTGAACTATTGCCATGCCAAGTATCTCAAGACACCCCCAGTTAACAAATTAAACTAAAACTAATAACAAAATAAATAATTTAAAAAAATCTACAAAAAAGTTCTTCAAAATCCAACACTCTGAAGTCCGGAGGATAAGACAGATACTGATGATGTTTATGAGGACCAAGAAGCACGGCAAAAACTGAGGAATTAATGAAATTATGAAGGAGATAAACTACATAATGTAGAAAAGGCGAAAAGAAGGTAGTGAAAGAAGATGGAGAACAAGAAAGAGAGGAATATATACTTTGTCAAAGAAGAAACAAGCTACAGGCAGAAAGAAATCCATATTATAAATAGGAGAAGTATTATTCCTGTTTTACAAAAAGTAAATATCATTGATACTACTGAAACTCTGTACAACTCCATAATATTTACCTATACTTTTTACTGGTCAAATACTAATAATGATCAGAAAACACCTGTTACGAGCCCAATAAAGGAACAATTTTAAGAAAGACAGATTGCATCTTCAATTCAACCGGTTCCCACCACTTACTTAGCAAGAGGTGGGTTCTGTTTCACTGGCTGAACACTTTGGGGTTTTTGCATCAGAAAAGGTGGGACACAGCAGCACAAGTATCCACACCTTTAACTAACTGGCAGTAGAGAGTGTTTTCAAGCCTTGTCTTCAACATTACTGCATGCAAACATGAGTGTTCCTGAAAAGTCAGGAGGAATGCTTAAAAGTTGGATATTCTTACCTGTACAAAGCATCATCAATTTCCATAGAGTCTGCTGCCATGATGCAATGTGATTCGTTTACACTGGAAGGGTTACAAAAAGAAATCAACTGGTTACATTGGATGCAATTTCACAGTTGGCACCCTTCCCACTCAGTTCTTCACTAAAAGAACTGAAAAGCATGTAAGTGATGTTACATAGGTATGATTTTGAACATTAGGAAGCCTGTAGAACACCACAGCACCTAGGTAATGAAAACACACAGGAGTCAGAAGACGAGCACCCTAAATCTTTGATAAATGCTTTCAAAATACAAACAGATATATTAATTTCACCACTGAGGAAATGCAAGACTTATTTCTTGTATTTGCTACAGTTAGATTTACTGAAAGTGCAACTTCATTTTATATTAACAGCTTCAAGCTGATTAACATGCATCTACCTGATCACTGGGTTTTTCTGAAGATAGGAGATTCCCGAATTACAAGAAATAGCTATTTATGCTGCATTATTTCCATGCTAATTGAAAATCCTTATGAAACAAGTTACTGTGTTAGCTAACAGAAGAAAACAACACCCAAAGATCCAAATTAATGCAACATTTAACTAAGGCACGCAGTTAATTCAATAGGATTTTAAGAAAAAAACATAATTTGTGCTATTGAGACCTTCAGCCACTAGCAAGGACTTTTTCATTGCTAAATTAGTGATAACTAAACACCAAGATTAGGAATAAACTACCCTGGGCAGCTTGTTTCTTAGTTATGCAGGCTGGGAATTGGTGCTTCCTGAACCTGGTAGGTGACTGACATCAAATGCAGGATGAGCAAAATAGATCCCACGTGTACCCTCGGACACAACTGAGGTTCCAGGTCACACAGCTTATTTCAATTCCCTACAAACTGCCTTGGAAACCAGACACAGCTGACAACCCTACCTTCTGAAAAGCACTAAAGTAGCACAGCAAGACAGTTACACTGGACACAGGCCACAAATCTCATAAGTTAAGCTCTTCCACAGAATGGAGAGTAACTCCTGCATGTAAGCTGGCACACAAGACAATCAACACGAGGCACCTCCACCACAATCTACACCACTAGTCACTCAGTGCAGCTCCCGTGCCCCTACACAAGGGCTGAAGACAAGCAATGCCTTTGTTACTAGACCATCCTAGGACCTAGAGCTCAAGCCAGAGTGCAACACACCCCATCTTACAGTCAGAGGCTTCAGTCCCTGCTTAAAAAAAAGCCTTCATTTCAGTCACTGCCTAGGACACAAGACTGGAAGTTCCCCTCACAGCAAGCCAGCATCATCTCGTGACAGAGCAGAAAAACAGTCCTAGAGCTCTTCTGCTCCTCCACAATCCCGCTCCACAAACAGCACTGACACTCTGGGACTATCCAACATAAAATGAGTGTGGTACTAGGGTAGGGAAGGTGATCTACCCCTGAACAAAAACTCAGCTTTCTCAGCTGTGGTTGCTGACTGCTGTCTCAATGCACGCGCCCTCCCAAACAGTCTTCTGTAAACAATTAGGCTGTGCAATCAACCAACAAGAGAACCTTCACCACCTATATCTCGCAGATTTGTCTGACAGTGGCTCTTCCCATGCATTTCTTAATTCCCTATTGTCCTCCTGCATTCCCAGTTACAGCACTGAGATGCTGCCAGTGTATCCATCAAGTACAGCAAAACAGATCCTTTGACAAGGAGGACTTGATACTACAGTCAAGTGACTCTAGGACAAACTTTGGTTAATGTATTCCCACATCCAAGTTGTATTTCTCATTCTAGTTTAACCAGCATTGAATCTGTTTCAAATAAATGCATGTAAAAAAGCCATTCTAACATTATGTCCTAATTCTTACCAGAGGTTCGACCTTTATACACTTGTCTATTTCCTGTTAAAAGCTACCGCTATAAGTTTTAATGCCAGGCTTGTATTTAACTGCGTAATTAATTTTTTTAAGCCTCAGCTGCTTGTATCACATAACCCAGGGACAAATTGAGAAGCTACATGTTATCAAGAAGGGCTAAGATGCTCTGAAGAGCAGCGAAGGCACAGGAGCTGTAGTGGTGTGCTGGTTTCACAGTGTTCCTTACCTCCAATCAGTGCCAGGTTGAAGCAGTGGTAACTACTTGTTGTTCAGCACGCTGGGATGGCAGGGAGGCCTGGACTCATCCCACCTATCCAGAGATTCCAGCGGTCGATCCCAGCCGATGCAGGCTCCCTGTTCAGTCGGCGGAGAAGAGAGAACGTAAGAGAGGACGCTCAGACCCACAACTACTGCCCAGCCGGGCCAATGGGGGCACACTGACACCTCGGATCTGCAGCGGGAAACCCAGAGTCCACCGGCTATGCCGAAACCAACCCGTCCCGGGTCCCAGCAGAGCCTGGCGGCTGCAGCCCCTACTCGACGCCCCGGCTCTCGGGGCGCTCCTGCGGCGCTGGGCACCGCCACCCGCCCCGCCGGACCATCCCGGACGCGCCACGGCCACGGCCCCACCACCCGCCTCGGCGGCTCCGGCGCCGCCCGCCCTCACCCCGCGGCGGCCGAGCGCGGAGATCCAGGCCCGAGCGCGGCCGGCGGCGGCGGGGGAAGAGGCAGGAAAGGGGTGGGAAGCGGCGGCGCCGGTGCCGCGGCGCTTCCCCGCCTGCGCCGACATGAGGGGCCGGGCCGATGCCGCCCCGCCCGCTCCGAGGAGGCGCGTCCGGCGAGACATGGCGGCAGCGAGCGGCTGCTTGGGAAGCGGCCGAGTGGGGGCGCAGAAGCTATTAAAAAAACACTATTTTCTGCCCAAGAGGTAAGGCGTTGTGTTGCTAAAAGTAAATAAAAAAATAAATAAAGTAAATAAATCCCGTATTGGTGCAAGCATGACCACTTTATACCACGAAGAGCGCTTCTGGGCCCTGCTCTTGAGGTACCTTCCTCAGCATCTTGCAGGAGAGCAGCAGCATGGTGTCACCTAACACAAAAATGGGCAAAGTTTCATTCAAAGGGGATCGGGAGCCAAACTGGGAATTTCTAGGGATTATCCAAAGCCAAAGAGGAGGTTTGGCAAAGAGTAGTCAAACCCAAAGTACATCCCATGCCAATATGGTGAGTAGGCTTGTGGAAACATTTTCTCTTGGTTTTTTGGTGGCAATCAACCAGGAGAGAGCAAGCTGCCACAATCACCATGCTGCTACCACCACCAACTCAACATCACTCCTATAAATCCAACATCATCTCCTGTTAATATTTTCTCTCTCAAACTCTTATTAAGATCACAGCACTGCCCACCTTCCCATCTTGCAGTTTAATTTCCCTTCACCTTAAACCTTGACTTCCCTTCTGTCACCCCTGATCATTGGGGTAGGTGAGAGGAGTTTAAATCGTTCTTGATACCATTAGCACATCTTATCTAGAATAGGGATTCATGCCCTGAAAAGTGTCCTTTCATGCAGTGTATAGAGAATAGTCACCTTGTATTTTAAAATATTTATAACTTCAGGAAAAAAAAATAAACCACAACCAAACCAACCAACTACCTGGATCCTACAGTACACAAGGAAAAAAAAAAAACACACACACACAAAATAATTCAAACAAACAAAAAAAAACCCCACAAGCTTTTTCTTTATCTTTTTTCTTTATCTGTATCTAGGGGTTTAGGGAACTTCTAAGGGCAAGAAGACCCAAGCTTTCTTCTCTTTGTGAGTATCCAGTGCATTATTCTGGCATTTACCTCTCTCTAGTAGAATTCTAGCAACCCTCAAGATTTACACCTCAGTCCAACAACACAAACAGCCTTTGTACTCAACTGGTAAGAAAGACTAAGAGCATCTGGACAACACAGTGCTTGTACAAATTTGGGCTACGCTTTGGCAGGATCAGATTGAAAATACTTGTCTACTACACTGCTTTTTTGACAAGCAGAAATAATTGGAGAAGATGTGGGCAAATTTCAAAGAACCACTAGAGGCCACTAGAAGTCTGAAATGCCGGACTGAGAGACGGGATAAAGGGAGAAAGCCGTTCAGGATGTCGACTGTAATCCTTACCAGTAAAGGAATTGATACTAAGGCTGATATTTGCTTTGTAGCTTTTTCACATGATGTATAAAAAATCAAAAATACAAGAATTAATTCCATTATTTCAATATAGTAATTTCAAAGAGTGCACGTATCTAATGAACAGAATTACCAGCAGTCCCTGTGCCCATGGGTTTGGGGTGGAAAATGAAGGAGAGTTTAAAGACAGCAAAAAAAATGTCAGTTTCATGCTTTTTTGTCACTTAGCTAATTTTTAGTCCTGTCAGTGATTTTTGCCTTTAATTTTTTGTATTTTTTCCTAAAAATGAACCTGTTAATTTTTTTCTTTTAAGGTTAAACTAACCATTCTTATTTTCATGATCTTACCAGTCAAATGTGTTCTGAAAAACAATAATAAAAAAATCTTCTACCTACCATCTTTCTGTCGAGGTCATTACGTTTTTTAAGATAACAGTCCATTTCCAGATAGTCATCTGACGTGAAACAGATTTTGCATAGTCATAGCAAATACTGACAAGCCTTTTGCCTAAGTGGAGAAACAATATTCAGTTAATTCTTTTAACTGAACAGTAACAAAGCAAAGACTAACGACGAATATAGGCATTCTAAGATAAAGTGCCAAATAAAAGTGGACAGATTCTGCTTACCCCAGAAGCCAAAGAAACTTGTTTCCAAATGCATCAATTAGATGGTGTACCCAGGAACCCTCTAGGTTGATGATACCAAATCAAAAAACATACAGTTTTTTCCCTACTTTTCCAAGACTGGAAAATTGGAAACATCTGGAGCCCTTTGACCTTTCTTTTTCCACTTAGCCTTCTTATTAAAAAAAAATATATAGCATTAAAATCTCAGTAAATCTCACTAAATAAATTCATTTTAAAGGGAACCTCTACTCCATGTTTGTATTTTATTAAAATCAGCTATAGTTTTTGATACTGGCAAAAGGTAAGAAGCAGTGGTCTCAGTTTACTGACTTACTGAAACAAGGAGCAGAATGTGGCTGTGGCCAGGAGAAAACCGCCACCTCCAGACTCAAGCCTACTCATGTCCCAGATCTCTGTAACTTCAGTTTATGTGCACCACTGTAGATCCACTGTAGATTCATTCTGCATGCAGGTATTGAATACATCTTTAGAGTCAGTATTTTCAAAAGGAGCTGAAGCTGAAATAGCTGTAAATCTCCTTTCCAACTGGTGGGAAAATCCAAGACACTGATTTCTTTTTTTTGTCTTTTTATTTCTTGACTTCCATGTGAGATGTCACATTCTTCATGTGGACCCCAAAGTGGGGATTTAGGGGGGGGAGATGCATTTGTTTCCCTGATCAATATAGTTAATAAGCAAATTAGAAAACAAAACTCATGTAATTTTTTTACCTAAAAATGTGTTATTTGAAAATACTAAGGCAAACATAATTCAGTTTAGCACATAGGCCTGTTCAGAAATTACCGTAAATCTACATCAACATCCTTCAATGGCTTTCCAAACATCCTGCCATAGGCTATGGCTTGCCATCAGCTCTTGAAGGAGCAAGGTGCTGCCTGGCAAGGCTTTGTCTCCTCTTTTTGGCACAACGTGCAGTGTAGGAGTGTTTTGATGGCATATTTAAAGGGACTCCAGCTTCCCAGTGGGGTGGGCCAAAGGATCTTGCCACTTAAAGCTGCTCTAGCAAGTGACACCTTCCTAGAAACCATGTTAATAAAGTTGATAAATCCAGATAAACAAGGCCACCAATTACATAAGCTGATTTCACATTGAGCTGTGCTTGAATGTATTTCCAAAAGCAAGAGCCAGCTTTTCCATGCCTGTGCATCTCTAATACAGGCTGAAAGTTGCCAGAAAAACATTCACTGGGTTAAATAATGGCTTTTGGCTCTCAACTCTTCTAATTTGTTAACAGGAACAGCAGATACAGAATTGAAGTTTGTACAAGCTTTACTTACATAATGCATCCCAATGACAGATTGATGTCATTCAACTAGATCTGCTCACATGATTAGGCCTTGTGCAATCAGCCTCTTCTTTCTTTCCTAATTCTGCTCCAAGCTGAAAAGTAGCATTGAGTAAGCCTCAAACAACTCAATTTGAATAAGGAGAAGCTTGGAACACATTTTTTTGATGCTTTAAATCTACCTGGGAAATCTCAAGAGAATTGGTACCAGCTGCATAGAGCTCCCCATAATGAGTTCCCAGGAATGCAATATCACAAAGGTAAGGGGTTTTTCGAAGGGCAGAAGCAAGCTGGTGAATTCTTGGATGAAGCTTCAGATCCATTCACAAATTTGCATAGTGCTATCTTAACTATGTTCACCTCTGAGTATTTTAAAGAAGCAGATGTCCCGCCTTGTCTTTGCTGAAACGTCTGTGAAGCTCCAACCACTGTTAAAAACAAAACCATTCCTAGTACATTCCTAGTACAGGAAACGAACAGAGAGCTGCAGTTCTAGAATAATTTTATATAAAATAAGGAAGATTAGTCTATTTTTTGTCATATTCAAATTTAGCTTGATTATTATTAAGCAAAAACAAAAGGACAGAAAAGGATCAGTTGTTTTTAAATACATTTAATGTTATGAAACATTGCTTCTATATTGTCTAAATCCTTGATAAATCTAAACATTGACAATAAGAAAAGTCTTTTCTTTAATCACACAATATTCTCCTTGTTTTATTGTAGGGCGGAAAACAAACAGAGTCATCATAAATAAAACACTGACACGGAGTATAAGACAAACCTAGGCCAGACAGTTTACTAAAAAGTTTATGAAAAGTGCATCTGGCTGGCTCAGGGCCCTGAGTAAGGTAGACATTCTCCCACACACCTCTTGGCTGTTTAGCCTCTTGCGAGAAAATCTGAAATAAAGGCTGCCTTTCTCATTTTAAAGGTATTGCATATACACATCACTTGCACTGTGAGGTAGGAACCAGTTTCTCGGGGCTGTGTCTGGTCTGGACCTCACCTCCTTATTGTTGCCCCTTCATTTGCTATGCAAAAAGATAGATTTAAGTGCAAAACAGAGCCCCAGCTATCGATGAAAATGAACTGTATACTTTCTATCTCATTTCATGAGTTTATTGTAAGGAAGGGCACTTGTCATAATTTTCCCTTTCAAAGTAATAAGAGGCACAAAAAACTAGACATAATTTTCTTTCCAAAGGATGCTTTCAAAAAAAGGGACTTGAACACTAGAAGAAAACAGTGCTTTCAGGTGACCTAATTAAAAACTCAATGAAGTTTCTATTTTGTAACTGAACCTGGCCTAGAGTAAATTCTTATTTGAAAAATAGCAGCAACTCAAAAGTGCATAAATTACAAACTTCATCAATAACTTAAGGAAACGGATCTGCTGCATTTAACTATCCTCCTAACTGTCCCAAGATCCTTTTCATTTTATAATGACATGGAAAATCACAATAAAGGTACTACTACTTCAAAACCAAAACCAATCTAAAACCTTCAGTAGATTTCTTTCTGAGATAAGGCATCTTGTCTTTTACCAAAATTCAAAAGATATATATAAAGACTGGAAGGAGCTCAGCAATAAGACAACCTCTTCCTCCACCACCAAGGCTTAAACATAGGCTTTTCCATCCATATGTAGACTTGTAATTCAGGGTGTGAGTTTTCAAGAAATGCCAAACATCTCATTCCCAAGGATGCTGATTGTTGGAGAGCTTGCACAGTAGGAAGAATGAGGAAAAATCCAGTCCTGAACAGCAGGGGAGGCAGGATGATTCAGTGAAATTTTCAGCTGTAGTAGGTGCAGCTGAGGGACTTGCAGTTTCATTCATGTCTCATACAGACTCTTGTGAGTCCTGCATTCACAGCCTAAGCAGTCCAGTGGCCATTCAAAGACTGCAGATGACAGTACTGGAGTGACATTTTGGATCCTCATATTGAAGACCTGGGCTTTAGAGGACCCTCTTCCATCAGCAATCCATGAGAGGTCATGCACAGAGGTAGGATAAGTGCTTATTCAGTGTATAAGGATTGGGTTTACTCTGAAGTTCTTATCAGGACTGTTATTTCATATGAAATTACTCTTCATCCTCATAAGACATATTCATATTCAAGATCATATTCATTCATGGCAGACCTGAATCCATCAGCAAAGCAAGACTACTTTCATTGCAGTGAGATGGCTTCCACTGGCTGGCATGCTCTTGGAAAAGCATGCTATTTCTTGAACAAAAAAGGTAGTTTCCAGTTTGTTTGTGGTGAATATTTATTTCTCCTTTAACACAAATTTAAATGCCCTGTTTCTTTCCGGGGAAATTGTTCATGGGGGCACACTTTTTACCAATTTGGGTAGAGCTTATGTTTCTGCATCTTAAGCAAATTGAGTGTTGAGCAGGGTAGATCTAGAAGACAACAGGTACAGAGGTAGCAGCACAGCATTGTGATGAAGTACTTCCACCATAATACCTTCAAGTAACTTGAACTTTACAGAATCCCCATAAAAATTTCCTGTTAAAAATGTGCTGTAAAATAAGAACGTCAAGGTTTTCTCTTTTCCTTTCCTACCTACTGCAAGCACAGAAATCCTGCTTTTCCTTAGCTAGGACATACCCTCAGTCCTGCTGATCCACTGTTAGTTACCAAGGCCACCAAGCAGGTTGAGCATCCGGAGTCTCAGCTGGAGTTGGTGCAGATGATAGTCTCTAACAAGGCTAATAATCAAGGGTTCGCTTTGCTAAAAACAGAGCTGTGACAGCATTTGCTTCACTGGAGGAAGAAGGTTCAGCTGCAGACTTCCGCCATGGCTGAAGAAAAATTTCTTTTTTTTTTCCCCTGGAAAATGTTTGCATTTATGAAGCAGGTAAATTGGTATCACTTAAAAGTTAGTTTAAAGATGTCAGTTCATAATTTCTGGTAAGTGAGAAAGTTTCACGGCTCAAAGATGAGGCAAACAATCTCATATGTTTAACATGAATTCGGAAGGGCATAGGATCTCTGACAGCAAAGACAGCGCTTGCTGCAGGCTAAGGTGGCTTCAACCAAAACTACATAGGAATATATATACTAAAAAAAAAACTTTTCAGAATTACAGATAAATATGAGTTACACGTAGTCTGTGTAGTTAAATCCATTTTTTACTTTTGAATTAGATGCCTGTTTTTGAGGTAATCCAGTCACGGAAATAAGTCACTCGTGTGTAAACTCCAGGTTTATTTGGTTTGGCACATTCGTCTCCCCAGCTCACTATTCCCACGAGGTACCACATCAGTCTAGAATCTGGAGTAACCAGTGGTCCCCCAGAGTCCCCCTAGAGAAAGAGGAGGGGGAAAAATATTTAATTAATCAGACGAGAAAACACAATTCTCTCCATAGACAGGAGGGCCTATCCAATAAGAGAAGTAAGCAAGCTGTATTTCAAGAGCTGCCATTTGTGCAGGAGCTAGGCTGTTTCTGAAACTTGAGTCAGAAGTCTGTGGCATTTTCCTATTTGCCATGGGACCTCCTGACCTCTGTCTCCATAGTTTCACAGTAAAAAAAAACAAAAAAGCTTCTCTTCTGTTTTGTGAAACACTGCTTCCCACCTGCCTTTTCTTCTTCCTCATACAAAGTAGGAAAACAAATATAGACAGCAATTTAAGCCAGCGGGAACTTTTTTTTTTTAACAGTAACTGCTATTCTTAAATTGTTTCAGTCACATGCAGCAATAACATTTCAAAAAGGAGCTTGGATCTCCTTTTTGCTTAGAGCTTTCATCAGGAGCTTGATCTCCTTAAGATGTTAACCTCTTTCAAAGGCTGAATTCAGATACTGTTAATAGTGTGACATGGTAATAACAGATAAACTGGAAACCTTAAAGGCTGAAAGGCAATCCTCACACAACAGACTAGATCCCCAACTTCCACTAAAATGATTTACTGAAATAAACAGCAGGTGCACCCTTCTGCATTGGTGTCTTCAATGCTGAGCCAGGCAGGAACAGAGGAATGAGCTTCCCAGACTTATGCTACAGGGAGCTTTTCTTTGGGCAAAGGTCTGTAGGACTGGGATTCAGGAAAGGGCCTGTTTTGAACTAGCACTTAAGAGACAATCTTTGAAAATAACATATATAGAAATTATGTTTTTAAAAGTAGTCATTATGGAAATATTTTTCTTTGAACATAAGCATTTCCTTGCAACATTTGCAAACCTGCACCACACGTTTCCTTCCCATTCTCTTACACCTAGCTTCCTTATAGTTATCTTTGTTTCAGATGGTTTTCCTTGCACTGAGTCAAGTGTGTTACCAAAGATCACTTCATAACAGATCTATTATGATATGATCCAGTCCAGAATTTAATTTCAGTGAGAATTTAATTCCAGTTCAGAATTTAATTTCAGTCAATTAAGATTTGGTCAACCAGATACTGCAGCCAGGATTGAAATAGTTTTCCATTCTAATTTACAGCTACAATTACCTGACAAGCATCTACTCCTCCTTCCAAGTATCCTGCACACAACATCCTGGGTGTTATGTCCCCATCATACACTTCTTTCCTGTTGCAAGTGTTTGAGTCAATAAGTTTCACTGTTGCTTCTTGAAGAGCATTTGGAGCTGGACCTAAGAGAAAATACAGTTTGGATATTTATCGACAGAATTACTTTGCAGTAGTTAAGGTACAGGAAGAGTGTTTAATATTCTCTGATGGAGGACCAGCCTGGCTTGGTTTACTGTGGAGGTTTTGCTTAAGGAAAATGTACGTAGAATCACTTGGGAACCGTATCATTAAGACAGAAGTAATGATTGCATGGTACATAGTGCTTTAAGTGTAAAGACATATATTTTTTACATATTCCGTGTGGTACCGCAGAACGCAAATTACCTAGCAATTTAGGCAGATGATACAAAGTGAAGACATCTTTTTTCCATTTCTAAATCTATTCTTAGTGTGGCCTGGTAAGGGCATGAGCTTGGGTAAGTCGCAGCTCAATCTACACATTTACCTGAAAGCCCACAGAGTTATCTGTAACTTCCAACTAGTGCTGGGAAAATAATTTTTTAGGTTCTATATAAACACATGCATGGCTGGACTACATGTCTTATGAATTTACAATATGAAATTAAAAGGCTGGGAAAACAGAACAGTCTTCTTCCTGTTTTCTGCCTCAGTGGATTGTCCACTCTAGCTTTAGAACAAGAAAGTGGTGCTTATGATTAAACAAACCTATTGCTTATAGACAAAGCATTAGGCTTGTTGCCATATAACATATGGCTACAGAAGATATATCAGTTCAGTAGCAGATCAGAGCCACCGGTTACATACCATGCAGGTCACCTGGCAGACTCAGAACTCACCGTCATTGGTAAGTGCTCCCCAGCCTGTGATGACAGCGTGAATATTGTAGGGAAAAGTCTGAGATGGCTCAGGCAGACAGACACGGTGTATGCTACTTGTAAACTCGACTCGTTTAGAGAGCTGCACAAGTGCAATGTCATAGTCATGTTCTGGGTAGAGGTACTTTTCATGAATAATAATAGTCTTGACTGATCGCTTCAAGCTTGGTGGCTTCAAAAGAGCTCCAAAAGTAGCAGTCCACTTCTGAGGGTGAGTCATGCTGAAAAAAGTAAGAGTGCTGTAAGTATTTTGCTGTAAATATATGTGTTTGGGACTTTAAATTTGATGGGCACCTTTATTGTAAAGCTCCTTCAAGCCAGTTCCCTACTAGATTCTGATGGCTTCCATCACTTTCCATAACAGTGTCTCCCACGGAACTGCAGGCTGCTGGTAGAAGAGAGCAATCCTGTGTTCCCTCCCCAACCACAGTCTTGCACTCCTCTCCTGCTCCTTGTCCCTGATCTAACCATTGTGTGGCCACAGGATGTTCATCAAATCAAAAAGCTCTTCTGCTACAAAACTCTTCCTCTCGGTTACTGTTTTTGCACGTTGATAACCTGTTCCATCAGCTGTTCCATCTTACAATGCCCTGTGGCTTCACAATTGCCATGCTTGAAACAAAGAAATGCTGGGCTTTCATGGCTGAATGGAGGGGTAGGAAGATGGGATGATAACTGCTAGTAGTAGCTTGCAGTGGCGGAAACCTCATGTCACACAAAGGAGCACCTTTAAGAAATATGTAGTGCAACGGGAAACAAATACTCCACCATTTCAGTCACGTTACCTTTTCTGCTCTTCTTTGCTCAATATGCCAAGTGACTATTGATTTCCACCCATACAATTGCCAGTTCTGCTCCAAAGGGTCAGTCTTTAATTTCTCATTGAAACATTCAAGTGATGGGTCTGCTTAATCCTGACTTTTCTCCTTCAAAATTGTTCCCTTGGGAAAGAGTCAGGGGTGTGGTGCAAATCTGGAAAGCCACATAACTTGATACACAAGGGGCACATTCTGCTGCAGATTCTAAGACGGGAACTTACTCTCTGAAGCAGTGAGCTGCAGATACAAGCCACGTGTTGCTGATGAGTGTTGCACCACAGCGATGGATGTTGTTGTACTGCAAACTAGCTTGCCATGGCCAGTCCCCAGTCTCTGCAGAAGACAATCCGCCGACTATTCGCAATGATGACGATTTTGCCATCGACTTGACCGATCTATTCTGCCGTAACCCACAGACTGTCAAAAAGGAGAAAGAGTGTATTAGCTGTTCTGCTGTTTAGTAAATATTCCTGCCAATGTCTGTGGAAAACATATGTAAAGTTATATACCATCTAACTTTTCTAACAGTATTGACATCAACAAGAAAACATACCACCCACCAACCCCCAAATCAGAGCTCCTCATGCACAACCCATTCTGTTAGAAACCTGAATGAACAACTGACTACTATGGAAAGCCACGACGGTCAAAGATTCAGGCTTAGCTGCGTGAGCAGCAATTCAGGAATCAAAACCTTCATTACACACCAAAGACAATACCCAAATATAGGGATTGCCAACTTTAATGCCCCAGGTAATTTGTCATTAGAATAAAACAAAAAAAAAGAAAAATATAAGATGGGAATGATCCCAACCATGGGTTTTTACCACGCATGCACACAAATTACATCAGCAAGATGTCACCTGGAAACAGGTAACTGATCACTGAAGTCTGCAAGTGGACCTGGAGAGGCACTTCCAGCAAAGAGCATCACACTACTCCAATCAGAGGTGACAAAGGGATGGACACCTTCAGCATGGTGTCTAAACCCAGAGAGAAATGGAAATATCCATAGTTTCAGCCACTAAACTCAGGATATTCAGGAGCAGCTGAAGCTCCCACGTAGCTTTAGAAACTTCCTCAATGAAGAGACTTCCTATCAAAACAGCATTAAATCCATCTCACCTGGACCAAGACCCACTAGTTTGCGTCCAGGTCCCAATTTCAGCTGGACATTAGGAAAGTTGACTGACAGGACTGTTGTGCCTGACATTAAAGCCACCACCTAGCCCAAAATACTAAGTTTCTTTATTTATTGGAAATCCTCCTTGCTCATTTAGTTTTACTGTGTATACCTAGGAGTCATCTGAAATGTCTTCATTTTCATATGGAAACATGGCTTAGTCTCTGCACATCCAAATGCACAATTAAGCAGACACATCGTAGAAGCTCTCACTGTAACCAGCAGCAACTGGATCAGGTTAGTAGATAAGCAAGTGTCGTGGACATTACAGTGCTCAGTCCTCACTGGCTAGGTCCTGTGATCCTTTATGGCAGGGTTTACATTTAAGATGGTACCTTCCACCTTCCAGACCAGCGCTGCTGAAGGCAGAACCATGCCACAGGCACTTATGCCACAGGACTTGTGTGTCTCCTCTAGAGCTCAACACGGGGAACTTGTATAGAGTCCTCAGCACTTGCTCTTTTCTCATTGTTTGTTCTTTCCCCACAGAATTGCTGATATTTTTAACAGAAGAAACATCTCACTGCAAAAAAAAAACCTGACCAGGGAACTCTGCAGTGGGTATGGACTTTTTCTGTAAGGGATTTTTACCTCATCACCACTATTTTCAAACCAATCTTCCTAAGTATCCCAGAAGACACAAATAAAACAGGTTTCCTTATAAGCTGAGCAGTTTTTCTAAACACACAGTTCATCTATGTGTACTACAAAGTCACATTCATTAGACAGGAGGATAAGAAAAGGCTTTTAAGGGCCAGGAAAAGTGCTCAGAGATTCTTAATGCCAATTTTAAAAACGGGACATTTCTGATGCTTAAAAAACCTTACTTACTGTCATTGAAGAGGGCTTCTGCTCTTTTTGGCTCCACATCTGAAACAAACAAACAGTCAGGGTAAGGCCAGGATAGCACAGACAAGGTTTCCCATCTGCATGGTTGTCCCATCTGGCAGCTATTTGAGTATAGGGCACCACAGGAGGCATGGCTGAAGGAGCTGCTAGAGAAACCAGTGAAGCTCATATGTGATCACGTTCTTATGCTAGCTGTTGTGCTCCCTGCAGTGCTGCTGCTTGTTCTCCAGCCAGTATCCTCTGAGGAACAAGCACTAATCCTGCCCATCCTGCTGGACCCTGATGTTTCTGAAGGGGAGTAGAGACAAAACAAGTCCTGTATTACTCAAGATCCACAATTTTCTTGGGGAGAAATTTTTGCAGTGGAAAGTTTTAATGCTCCATTTTTTTGTAAAAAAATCAACTGACTGCGTTTTACACCAGTGTGAGGGCCAGAGGAGGTCTGGTACTCTCATTCTGTGACCTTCACTGCAGCAATGCAAGCTTACAATTGCAATGGCTCACTCTCCTTTCTCCTGTCCTATTGGTACGCTATTAATACTAAAATAGATAGTTATTAGCAATTTATTACATAGCACTGCAGGTTCTAGAAATACAGCCCCTTCTTTAACATGCAAGATGTATGTTTATTGATAATACAGTATGCTCATGATGACAATAACAAGCATTGGCTCAAAGTCTAAAACTATCCCCTCCTTCCAGAATGCTGTTTTTTATTACAGCTACCATTGTAGTCTCCAGCATTCAAACTATTTTAAAAATAATATTGTATTACTATATACCATATGTATTAAAAAATAATAAAAACTATTTAAACCCCCTACAGTTTCAATACATTTTTTAAATTACATAGATTATAATTTTGTTTAAATTATATAGATCCTTGTACAGCTTCAACAAGTTAATATTTTGTGGCTGGACAGCCTTTCTCAGTAGATCCCTGTCCTTCTCACTAACTTCATATCTCTTTGCTGCTATATAGAATAATATCCTAGTTCTGATCCAAACCCACACCAAGTCAGGAGGAGTCTCTTTTGAATGCAAAGGGCTCTGGCTCATAGTTGTCGCCTGTTGGGTTTGTGTCACGTGTGTTTTGCTTGTGGGCTTGACACTCCTTCAGGTATGCAGGGTGAATTGCCTGTTTGCAATCCACCAGTACTAGACGTGTACTCATTCATTTCTTAATGTAACCTTAAGCAGATTATGATAAGAAAAGAAAACAAACAGAACTCCAGTCCATGCACAGCTTGACTACAGGAATGTTACAGAGCAAAGGCAGTGCTAGGGCTGCCATATGTGCATGCAACCACTGCTTTATTTTGTAAGGATAGGAGATGAGGTAAAATTGGACATCTATATAGCAACACAGTCTTATTCACTATGGACAGGAACACTTCACATAATAAAGATAACTAAGTTTTACTAGTGGGCAAGCAACTACTTGCAAGGTCCCCTTTCAAGTAAAAGTAAAAATTCTCACTTGTACTTTCACAACTCATATGAAGGAAGGAGGAAAAGACTAAAAGGGCAACTACTTTTGCACCTCAGGAATGCTAGTTGTATTCTGTGAATTTCCATGGATAATATGGCTTGCTGTCTCTAAGATCCCTTACATCAAAATGTAATGATATCAGAGAGTAAAAGCTAGGTCAGCAGAAGGATTCAGCAGTGGTATAAATACTACTGTTTTCTGAGATATGCAAAGGATTTGGCTGCTTCACCTGTATGTTCATATTGGCAAGAAGTGCTTTGAAAAATCTGTCCCTACTTTTTAATTTCAACTATGATGAGCATCCAGTGTTTTCCTAGAAATTCATACAACCTTCAGAACTAGCTCATCATTTGAGTCACTTATACATTCTAGATGGAAACTGTTAAGAAACCAACAAAAGTAATTCACAATGAAAGAGGACCTTTTGCCAGTAAGTGCAATATTGATAACAATGTTTTTTAGCTTTTCTTTGGGTGGAGAGACATTTACTTCATAATGCCTAATTATAAAGCCTGCAGTCAATTATTAACACTTATATTATATTGCAAAGCTCATCGAGAAGACAAAAGGAGCAACCAGCTTGTTCAAGTGCAGTGCCGGAAGCAATTCAATCGGCATGTTCTCACTGCATCGAGTTTTGCTGTGAGTCACACAGGTGTTCTGCAAGGCACCTGCCTATATCTCTGTTTGCCTTTTTTATGAGGCACCTGGGAAAAAGTATAAACCTCACATGGGCAAAATTTTACCCACTGCTTCCAGTTGAACTGACTTCTGTGTAATTGGAGAAACATGCCTTACACACACACGCTGCAAGTCTATACACCATTGAATTTCAGCATATTTTATAATAAATCCCTACTATGCAGCTGATGTACTACTCTATCCACCCACTGCTGAACAAAAAAGGCCAGTGACACCTGTCAGTAAATTCAGTGCTGTATTCACTAGGGGAGGGGCATTGCTTTGATTTAAAGATTTGCCATATAAAGTGCCCTGACACTTTATCCCACACTGGGAGCTGAAACACAAGTACTGATGAAAACACCACAGCAATGGAAAAAGCCTCAAAATAAAGGGAGTTTTTAAGAGGTGACAGCAAGTCTGTCCAGCAGCAGACCTGGGAACTCATCATGCAGATCAGGACAGGTGAAATTAAGGGCACAATACCCAAGACACAAACACCAATGTGCCAAATCCAGAACACACACGTGTTTGGAAACCTGAATTAAGTAACACTATTTTCACATAAGCCGAGCCCACAGTAGATCCCATCAAAAGCAGGGAGCACTTTGGTTTACACGATACAGCTGAAAATCAGGTTGCTTACTGGCTTACCTTGCTAGAGGCTTGCTGCATTTGTTACTGGCCTGGTCAAGAGCACAGCTGTTTGCACTGTGCCAGCCAGCATGTTGCAAGCCCTGCCTTGAAGCAATCACTTGTAAGGCTCGAGAGACAATTTCGCGGCCCTACTCATTTACTAGTTGCCCTAGTTTTTTGCACTACCAAGAAAAAGCATCAATTAGTAACAATTAAAGTGTCATTTCTTGTCCCAACCACATATGGCTGCAAAAGTAGTTGTTTATGCCACATTTAGGAAAACAGCGTTCAGGCTCCTACTGTAAACAAGAACAAGTTCCACTTGAACATGCATTGCCTACCTGTAAAATGGAACTTGCTATTGAATTCAAGCTTGCTTAACATAAAAGAGAAAACTAATGTTTAAATTAAAATCACAGCAATCTATTGAAATACAATTTAGGGATTGCATCTTTCAGAAGAGGGCTCTGTTCTCCAACTGGAGAAGTAATTTTGTTATTACAGTTATTTTGCAAATTTAGTAAACAGAATAACTCTAAAACACATTTCAACACACTTAAGTTTTTAATTTCTGACTAGTGAGAACAGTGACTTGCAGTTACTATTTAAGGTTAATAAATTATCAGTAAATAACTTTTTTACTCCTCAACATATATTCTTGAGCAAACATTGAAGGAAAAGAGGAGTAAGTAAGAACAGGAAAGCATCTTTGTTTTGGGAGCTGTTTGTATGCAATAACCAGTTAAGGCCCAAAGTCCGTGGATCTATTTGGCAACCATCTAAATGTTTGCATGTTCACAACTACCTGCAGAGTGAATGTGACATTTTATCTCTGAAGGATTCAGAGATTCCTATGGAAAAATGTGCTCACTTTTCCATGTCTCTAAATAATATCAATGTCACTGCATCAGAAGACTCAGTCTTCTCTCTGCTGCCTCATTTCATTTTAGCCACAGAGTTCAGTGTTTATATTAAAAAGAGAATAACAGGCAGAACCCTGTGACATAAGTGAATCAGACATTATATTGCATAGTGCAAGCAAGGCAAGCAAATATATTATAAGAGGATATTATGAATTTTCAGTGTAGAAAGGGCCAGAGATGGTTACAAAATTAAAGGTGATAAATTTGTTTTAAAAATCTGATACAGCTTTACCCAATTACATCATTTTTCACAGATGTTGATTCCCAAAAGAAACTTGATTTTCTATAAAGGGTTCCACACGCAATTTTCTATAAGTGAAAACGTAACTTCTAGTCTCAAAGGCAAACTGCATGTTCCATCCTCTGTTATGTCAAGTTCCCACAATTTGCTTGTCTAAACTGTTTTCACTCAGAGAAGACAAGGTAGAGTATCTTAAAAGAAGAGGAGAGGGAGGAGAGGATTGTAAACATAAATAAGAAAAAGTATGCGCTTCAATAGTCATGACACATTCTTGGACATGCCTTTGAAGCACAGCTTTATGAAATGCACCAGGGAGCAGAGGAAGCATTTTTCCTGCTGTCCTTTGCCACATTTTAATTACGACTGCCTTGAAAGGAATTACGAAATTCTCAGGTGCATCAGAAACAGGGGGCTCACTTCGTTCAGTGTTATGTAGGGTAACAACAGTGCATACAGGCAAAAAGAGAATCCCTGGCAAGTTTCAGTAGGTCACCAACCTGGGCAGCTGAGAGGAATGTCACAGAGCACATCTGTCCTGCAGTGTAGACAGAGGTGGGGATAATAGCTCTACTCTGATGCTCTTTAATTAACGTCAAAGACTACGAAGATCTGAAGTACTGGGGGGAAGTGGGAGCGAGACCAGAGAAGACCAAATTCAGTTGTTCCAGAAACTGTACCCAAAAGGAACTGCAGGAATTTCCTGAAAGATGGCAAAACATGAGCTTTGGGATCAGCAGGAAGGTCATGCTCTTGTGTGGTTATGTAGTGCACACATTCTAAAATGTCTCCCCCCTAACCTTCCAATATTCTCACTGCTCTCTCAAGAGAAATTACCTCCCCAGATTTAGGCACCCTGGTAAAAGTAGCAAAACGTGGCTTAGACACATGTGATGCAATTCTCATTCCTTCAGCAAGGTAGAGTAACCTGGTAGAGACAAGACAAATGCTTTGTGCCTCTAATTGTCCCTGTCACCCAACCATTCCCTTCCTACTGATGTTCACTGGGCCTGTCCTCACATGTATGACTCCCCCACCATCTCCCATCAGCCACATCTTAGTTCTGTCCATGTGGCAGACAGAGGTCCAACCTCACAGCATACTTACAACTCCATCCAGTTGTCCTGCAGCCCGAGAAGGGGTCTGCCACGTACCACTTGTGTGGCATGAACCCAAACTGATATGGTTTTTAGCATTACTTTTCTTCCTGACCTACATTCATGCCCCAGCTGCAATCAAGGTCTCACTACATTAAGGGCAGCCCAAATCACTTGCAACCTCTGCAGGCACAGCAAAGAAGGGGAAAACCAATTAAATTAAACTGTCTGGGTCATCTGAGAAGTCAGACTTCTGCTTAATTCCTTTATCACAAGCATGTCCTTGCAAAATATTCATTTCAAAATACATTTAAGTCCCTCTCATTTCAATCATTGTCTCTAGACTCTTACTGAAATGTACCACCTTGTGCCAAACTAAAGGCATCAAAGTGGAGGAATATCAGATCTCCACTGCTTTTCAACATACAGATGCATATCCAGTTCCACTCCCTCAAGTTGCTGTTGTGGCTGGTAAAATGCAAAAATCTAGACTGCTATATACATCATTTGATGTGACACATTCCTCATCAACCCTGTCAGACGCTCATCTGCATGTCTCCCACAGAAGACTCCATAAAGAAGTAAGGTTCTGTACTTTGTAGTTGTTAGGAGCCTTAGCAAGCCCCAGATTCCAGATAAATAGAAACAATAACAGTTGACTTGTTGATCAAAACCAATTCATGACTCATTGTTCATGGTCAAAATCCTTGGCTGTGCAACAGGTGGGAATGCTTCCTACTCACTTTCGACAGTGCCAGTGATCTTGCAACCAGCTGCTTTCTGACGTCAGAAGTACATTCCCAAAAATACCTTTTGGGATACTTCCAATCTACCTGACAAAGGGAAATAGCTTGGCAAGCTGCTCTACACTTTGTTTCATAGGGATCCAGGCTGTCGGGTGACTCCACCTCTAACCAAGAAACCCTGGAGAAAATACATCAGCCTTGTAGGAGATCTCTTTGGTGCCAGAACTATACAGAGCGCAAACTGCAACACCTTCTTGGAGTGCCAGTGGAAGAGCAAGTCCTAACATGGGTGTTTCCAAGTCATCTGACACTTTGATATCTCACTTTGATGGCCCTTGTACTGCTGTTCAGAGAAGATAGGACTTAGTTTGCTTGATTCTTCACTGAAAAATATTTAGGCTTCTATGGGGTTTGTACACAAGTGCAGAGAATTCTATCAGTTCCTATTTTCTATCAAGCCAGAGGGAATGTCTGGACATACACTGTCCTTGACCAAGGGACTATGATGTCTAGCTAAATAAGAAAAGAACTTCAGTAGTAATACATCTGAAGATACCCTGACAGAAACGTATTTTTGCAGCCCTATGTAAAGAAAATCTACTGTTTAGCGAGAGACGAACCAGAGACAGTACTATGTTGTTTAAGTTTTGCACATTTGCTATTTTTTCATATATGTATGATCAAGCTCTCTTTTTGAAAAAAAATTAACTCATAAAACATTGACAGTTTAGATTTTTTTCACCTCTTTATTTCCAATCCTCAGAAACGCAGAGGCAAAGCAAGTTGTGCCCCTGAGCTGACAGACTACTTAATATTGCAGTGGTGCACTGAACTGCAGCTGAAGGTCCCAAGTGTTGCACCCAATTTGGAGGAGTTTGTTGGAGCTGATTCTCAAGCAAATACTTTTGACTGAAGCACAGGTTGAGACATAGTGTTGAACAAGGTGATTATTTTGGGGGAGGAAGACTTAAGGAGGTTCCCTTAATCAGACTCCCCCTAGCATGCAATATAAATAAGTGTCTGACCTGCATTTGTTCACCTAGTTAGCCATGCTTAGCTAAACTGAGCTATATCATGGCCCCTAAATCAGAACCTTTTGATAAGGTGATTATTTGATGATTTTTTACAAGGTTAATGATTTTTTTCAAGTCATTATGAAAATGTTCTGGGATTGCCTCAAGAAAAACAAGGGCTACAGTTGCCCAAAAGGTACAATGAAGCAAGATTTAGAAAGGTGTCTGCAGAGCATGGAAAAAATCTAGGGCTTCTTAGGTTTCCTTGGTTTAAATACTCATGGTGGACAGGATATTTCAGGAGGGAAGAAAAAGGTAGGAAATTAAAAACCTAGATTCTTCTCTGGACTTCTAGAACCTGTTGAAAATTGTGACTTCTCCCTGGTGTGAGGAATAAGACAAGTGTTATAAATTGAGACCTGCATGTTCTCTAAAACCACAGGAGTGCTCCATTCTATACTCTTCACTTGAGTCAACTTGATTTTCTGAAAAGGCAACACCAATAGTAGCTTGCCAAAGTCTCATAGCACTGCTGAAATCATGTTAGCAAAGAAAGATCAAAAATATTTTTGGACAACCTTTTATTGTTGTCTCTTAGAAATGTCAAAGTGTTGTTTATGTTCCTTTGTTTCACCTGTAACAGTTGCATAATGTAGTGAGTAGCTGACCTATGTAGTCAGTGTTTTATTGTTAGGCTGGGAAAGATAAGAAAAGCAACACAAAGTTTATCACACATCTTTGATAAAGTAACACAGAGAATCCATCTTTTACTGAGACTAAATATTTAATGAAAACTTTGTGATTCAATTATATGAAAAAATGTTTTGACTGTCTAGTAGTTACTGTAACAGCCCTGGTGCAGTTCAAGGTCAACTACAACAGTTTTGAGTCACTTCCCACTTTTACCAGACTGAATAAAAGCTGCTAATCAGATAACTCAGTAAGATCACAGTCTTTTTCTAACAAGCATTTTTGTACTCCTTCCAATTTTATCCTTTATGTTAGGCACCAAATTAAACTGAAGATTCAAAATTCAACAACCCATGACCTGGCTGTCTAAAAATCCCCAAAACTCTTTGAGTCTTTCTGATGCCCATGCAGTATTTCTATCTGGGAGAAATTACATATGCACTTTGTTGAACAGGAACTACTGGCATTTAAACAACACTGCAGGGAAATGGCGATTCTTTGCCCAGAGGGATGTCGCCTATTATCCTAAGCCATTCCAATGAGGAAAATTGGTTGGCCGTCAAGAAACAACAGGTGTGTAACAACTCATATTTGAGTTTCATTGCATTGCCCCAATGCAATGTCCCCAGTTCAAGCACCGAGAGGCAGAACAAGAAGTTGCTCCTGCTTATTTCTGAGTGGGAGGAAGTCTGGATCCATCCAGCATGGAATCTGGCCCAGGTTGTTCTCTAAATACAGCTGTCTAGCCTCTGCATATCTCTGCTGAGTTAAGTAGTCTGGTGTGGAAAAGCAAGCAGCAAGTACCAACCTATGTACTGTACTGTCACCTTGCACTCTGGAGTAAGTAGGTCTGCAAAAAAAAATGGAGCAAGTATCTGACTCTTTCTGTCAACCAGCAACTCATTCTTGAAAAGTCTGACACCCAGAAAAATTGCTGACTACATATAACTGAAGCTAAGACAGAGACAAGAGTCTACACCCGCACAAAAATTCTGTAGCAGAACTGAGGTGGAGAAGATAGTGCAGTTAAATTTCATATCCTGCAGATGCAGGTCTGCTTTGCAAAGAAGGGGATAGAATCCCCAGCCAAGAAGTCATGTAGATAAGAACATTTTCCCTTTCTTTCCCTTTACCCTGGGGAACTTGCAAGGATTTTGATCATCCCACCAAATATTATTTTTTCAGTGCATTGGCTGTTTCCCCACTATACTTCCTGCATTTTCAGGCTCCTCAGAGAAGCAAAGACCTAGGGAGCATGGCTATGTTGTTGTGTGCTGAAGCACTGTGGTAAGGCTCCTACTCACTACCATGATAGTAGCATAAAGTTGGTACTGCAGTTTGGAGGAGAGCTGAGGCTGTACTGCAAAGTCACAAAACTGCTCCCATTTATCCATATTTAAGACATTTTTGAAAGACTTGGGGAGGAGGGTTATAAATTGCTGCTGGTTTTGTTCTAACAATTAGCAGGAAAGACTGTTATTCAGACTCAGTAACAGCTATCATCAAAAGGAGAAAAATCAAGTCCCACCAATTAGAAAATGACAAGAACTACCTTTAAGAGAGATATAATATACTTACTTGAGATGGTGGAAGATCTGACATTTATTCTCAGAGGCCCTGTGTATTTTTTCAGTCCCCTCCGTAAGATCCTTTGAACTCTTTGTCTCAAGGCTTCTCTAGAATCCGTGGCGGAGAACCAGAATGTGAGCAAAGCCTCTGCCATCACACCATCAGCATCTGGGCTACAAACCAATGAAACAGTCTGGTTACCTTCAGCCCATTTCTGCATTTCTTAGATTTTGTCTTAGCTCCTGTAGCAGTGGCAATGTAACATAAAGGATTAGATAAGTTTTCAAACATTTGTACATTTTTGAGAGAAGGAATTTCCAAAAGAAATCCAAGCAAATGCTGAACGGTCAAACATATCATAGGCTAGAAGAAGGCATGATGCTTTCTGTGAACAAATGGCCAGACCCATTTTATAATGGAGTCTAAAAAGCAGTTGCTGACTATATGCTTGGGACACGAGTAGGAAGGAATGAATCAATTTGATTGCAATGAAAAGCTGGATACACAGCACTTCAGAAACATCAGGTAGATGATTAACAGTACCTAAACCAACTTTTCCATTGCCCTGTATATATATACACAGAATAAAAATTTCCAATCATCATCAAAAAGGTACTTGAGCAAAGGGGAAAGACACACAACCTACTTCCACTACTGCAACCTCTTGGGAGAATGTTCCTAATAACCTTGTGTTGTGCAACAATAAATGAAACTCGGCAGCATACCCACAATCTACTTATTACACTCAAAGAGATGGATCACAGAAGGGGCCTTTAACACCTCACTGAAAAGTACAAATGGCACCCACACTGAGACACACAATTTCACAGTTTCTATGTAAGATAACAGGAAAGAAAAGGGAGGAAAATCTTTAACAGGTTGAATTCACCTGATAGTAGTATTTCTTTTTCCTTAGAGCATCAGATACTGCAAGAGACGGAGTGCTAGACTGCAAATACCAAAGTGTCTAATCTGGCATAGTAAATCTTGCTCTGTGGTTGCAGATGGCTTATCCCTGGTCATTACACAGAGAAGATAAGAGACTGCACTGAGAAACTTCTCTTCTGTGTCTCCTCCCACCTGAGCCAAGAAGCAGTGATACAAGCCACAACAGGTGAAATCACAGTTACTTCATACAGGTGGAAAGCTACAAGCAGGTTGCTCTGTCATTAAACAGGAAAGCAAAAAAGAAGATGTCCCAGTTATATCTCACTGTCTTGGAAATTCATAATTATATAAAGAAAAAATAAGTAAAAGTAGAAGACAGGTAGCTTATACACAAGTCATGGGATCAGGCTATGATCTTTGAAACGAACTCATACCAATATGAAACAGACGTTCTCAATATTCCCAGTGAAGGGAAGTAAAAGGCCATGTATTAATGAGCACACCAAAGCATGCCAAGCGTTTCGTAGCTGACCAGAAAGACACACTCCTTGCCTCAAGGATCTCATAATTGAGACTGAGTAGTCATACATGAACTTTCCAACAGACTGTTTTTTCCATTTGTGCCAACTTCAGCATGATTGCCACTCCATTTATTTTCCAGATATTATCTGATCCAACTGTGGGTGTTGCTCTGCATTTCTGAGGTGTTCCCTCACCTCTCCCCCCACTCCTCTTCCTGTGCTATGCCACACTGGAATTACCGTATCAACTCTTGCAAGCACACCACGCCTCTCGAAACCCTCGGGTAAGTACAGCCCACCTTGAATCACTTATTATATAGCAAAGATCCAGAGCCAAAGACACCTAGTCAAATTATTATTGTCTTTCTCAGTGAGCAGTAGTCATTATTACTAATGCATTATTTATACCAAGACAAAAAATATGCACAGTACTTTCCAAGTAAACTCACACCAATGACCCTGTTCAAAACACCTTGCAGTCTGAGCCCTAGAAGACGCATAAAGCTTGTATATATGAAAAAGCAAACAAGCTTTGGTGCATACCAGTCTTGCATCCAACACAGCAAACATCACAGCAAGTACCTCAGTCTGTCCTTGGGAACAAGAAGTAATGAAAAATATTACTTATCCCTACAAATTGGCCTCTCAGATCCTTAAATCACCCTGTGTACACTTGCAACACTCTAGTATCAAAAAATACCCCTAAAGCTACATTCAAATAATGACTTTCGTGTAACTGGGGATTAAACTAAGGCTGAGGAAGAGGCAGGATGTCACAAACCATTTAAGAGCAAGGAGAAATACTTTCACAAGAATTGGATCTTTAGATCTTATTAGATCTTAGTCTTGCAGCTTTAGCATGTCATAATGAAGACATTCAAGTTTTACATGCAAAGCGATGGGTACTGTCACTCTCCTGAGTATTGCAATAGACAGTTATATAATACCTTAGTATTGCGATAGACAGTTATATAAAAAGGTCATTTTCAGCATTCAACAGTGGTAAAAAAAATCAAATTAAACATTAGGCTTTTGGTAGTTGAACAGAGAATAAAAGAGGAAAAAAAGCACCACATTGCTCAGTGATAATCCCAACCACAAGTCTGACCCCTTTATCTCAAAAAGCAGGAACAGGAGACCTGAAAGAGATACAGAACAGGCAGTTCCTGCAAAGAATGGCAAAATAGGATGGGACTTTCAACTGAAAAAAAGAGTGGATCTTACGGGATACAAGAGAGAGAAGGGATATAATGGGAGTATCCAGTATCACTAACTGCATGGAGAGGGAGGGTAGTGATCAACTTTTCATCACCTCTTCCAGCACAAGAACTAAGGACCATTGAATGATCCAAAGAATCATTGAATGGTTCACAAGTAAGTCCTTACTAAAGGACTGAGGTGCATGGATTTAAAGAGTCCAGGAGACAGTGGACAAGTCCTTGGAAAATAACTACACCAAGGGCTGCTAAACGAACCACAACCACTTCAAGAAATCTGAAGCAGGGAGCAGGGAGCATACCAAGGAGCGGTTGTTGCAATCAACACGTCTGTTGTGCTGCTGCTATTCCCCAGGTACCTACTTAAACCCATTCTTAAAGCCACAATGAGAAGTGGGACCTTCTGAATCAGCACAGCCCAATTTTACTTGGCAAGCCCAGCAAAACAGCAATACAAGAAGTGGCATCTGCATTACAGTGAAGGAAATAGTTTTGTAAATGCTTTTTAATTTCAGATAGCTTTATTTATGTTTGCTTTATTAGCTAAAGCTTGCTCAAGATCTGAACACAAACTTGTATAGAATTTGGATTGACTGAAGTTTATCTTCTGCATCAAGATCCAAAAGGAGGGCATGGTTCAAAAGAAGATTATACTCAATTAGGGATTATGCTCTGGTGTTACATACAATACACTTTACTGAATCAGATCTAGCTGGGCTTGTTGTAAATTTCATTTTATCTCAGCTGCTTGCATTTATTATTATCTCACATACCTCACTCTGATTAAGCGTGAACGGATGTATTTTTTCCTTAAAATGGAATTGTAAAATGTCTTGTCGATCTGTTGAAAAAACAAAAAATATAAGATAACAAAAAAAAGGAGGGAAACAGACATATTGCTGGAAGGAGCATTCAGAAAACAGTATTCAGTTACAAACTCACAGCTTGCAGAGGCAAGAAATGTAATCCAGCCCAGCCTCTAGATAACATTTGTTACAGACCTTTCCTAACCATTTCCCATTTGACCTAAGGCACATTATAAAAAGCAAGCTGATTTTTCTAAATGTTCTATGACTACATAAGTGTGCCACTACAGTGCTGCCTCATCCAATCTCAGGCGTAATGAGAAATATATAAATATCCTTGGGATACACTGCTGCAGTCTCCCAAAGCGTAGCCTCCTAAAGATGGCCCACAGAAAGGATAGAGTATGCTGTGCTCTGCAGAGCCTCTCTTGTAGGGGTCCTTTCTGTGGTTCTATAGAAATCTATAGCAAAGCTACCGGTGATCTCGAATTATGTCCCCCTATCACCCTTGTGATTTTCCACATGCTAGAGGAATTGTCAAGCAATTCTCATCAGAAACTGGAAATCTAGGACTTGTAAGGAATCAATCTCCAAATGACATCTTTATTGGTGCCTGCTTAACCACATCCTGCTTTAGGCTGAATGTCATCTCGAGATTGCGTGATCAGACTGAGACAGCACAGTGTGATATCATATGGCATGAAATTCTGCCAGGAATGGCTCAGAATCACTGAAGGATTGAGAAATAGCAAAGTCACTAGTGAGTTATGCAGCAACTCCTCCTATCAGCAAGACACAGTAAATTGAACATATCCTGTAAACATCAAATGCATTACAGGAAAAACTACATAGAAATGCTTTACAACATCATGCAAGTAGTCTTTTTCGTAGTTTTTAGTCCATAAAGGCAGTCTGATTTAGCCAAGTCTCAAGATGTTCTGTCTTCCAAAGGAAAGAAAAAAATAATGGTTCTCAAACTTCTAGTATGTTGAAATCTTTCAGATATGGAAACAAGCATGCAAGCACGAAATCTGGGGTTGATTCCTCCCAAGGAACACAGAACACCTCTTTTCCAGCCTTGGTTGTCATAATGTCATGTCATTACACAGTGATATTGAAGCAGAGTAATTTCAAGATGAAGAGTGCACTTTTTTTTTTTAAGGTTATTTTAAGCATACATTAGTAAGGAAAAAAAGAAAATTTCTTAATTGTCATACATTGAGCTGATGTTTTATCTTGCTGTTGCTGGCAGTTATCTGCAATTACTTTGGCATTTGGAACAGACAAAATTCTATGGAAGAATACATCACCTGCAACAAACTACTGTATATATGCAGAATGTGCTTTATCCTGTTGCTTTGCAGATTGCCAGCTGGTACCACTGAACTGTATGAGGCATACAGTTAGAAATAAAGTGTTTTATTTCCTGTAACTCTGCAGCCTGTTCCACCACGATCCCCCTTGGTTATTGGAAGTATTTACCATCAGGCAAAAGGGGGTTTGTTTTGCTTTGCTGTTTTTAATCATAACATTTGCTTATCATTTCTGTCACAGTGTTAACTGCTTCACTGATGATTGTGTAAGCAGAAGCATGTAGCTAAGCAGCACTGCCAGCTTTGTGGCACACAGTGGCATGTGCTATCTTTGACTGCACTGCCTCTGAGAACTTTTGAGATCTCTGGGACAGGGACTTCTTTGCAGAGTGCTTTGCAATCATAGAGAGCCCTGAGCTGGGCTGAGGTACACCTCAGGCTTCTACATTGCTAACAAGTAAAGCAAAAGCAGAGTGACTTTCAGCTTCGGACTGAAGAGGGCAAGAATTCATAATCCCTTGCAAGGGAGTGTTAAGTCAGTATGACATTCCCAAATCCTTTATCTCCTCTCGACAGCTGTGTTTTCAAGGTACCTGTACTGTCTCAGATGGCAAGTGTTTTTCCTAAACTTTCCATCTGCATTTCTACAGCAGATACAGGGATCCTTACTTCTGTCATCCATTATGTATCTTTGTTTCAGCCTAAGCAGCTCATGTGACTGTTTTTTGTACTCCCAACATGTCCAGCTTTCTCCTTTTCTCCTCAGCCTGGACCACTTCCAAGATGTTCCAGACAGTCTGACCAGGTACACCTCGTGTTGCAGGAGACAAAGACTTCCAGTGACATCTGACAAAACACGACTCCACACAGTGCTTTTTTACAAAAAGAATCTAGGAAGTCCAAATGCAACTGAAATACCTGCAACAGACACTGTTTTCAGAAAATTAAATCCAAAATGGATGGTAGTTAGTTCTATGGACTGAACAGGAAGCAAACAATTTAAAATGATACCAAAATTACTAGATTTGTGTTACTTCCATTCTCTTCCATGCTTTCATATCTGATTGAGAAAGTAGACACTTTTCCCACTTGTCACTAGCTTTCCCATACTTAAGAGTTGCCCTAATATTACATCACCAACAGATAAAGAAGTCACTGGAGAGTGGTTTTGTTTTCAGTGAGCCTTTCAGAGCTTTTAACACCTTCAAACTTGACCTAGTGTTTTTCACTTTTGTGATCTGCTGTATCTTATCAGGAAAGAAAGTCTACCCAAACCTCTGCACTGTGGCCCCTGTCTCTCACCTGCTCATGAATTTTGTTGACAAATATGACCCAAATTTCTTCTTTCCTTCAACAATGATTTTGGTAACTGAATTATTAACAGTAATCTTTATATTCATACAGAGTTTATACAAGAGGAAAAGATGTAGGAGTGTGACTTCAGATAGCAACTTTCAAAGATTAATGTTCTGTATCAGGTTTTTACTGTTCATCGTCTGATAAACATTTCTCTCCAGCCTGCTTATATCTTTCTTTTCAGCTTGAGTCATAACCCTAGAAGCAAAAGCAACTAGAACTTTGTCCAGTAACTAGGTGGGACCTGGCCCTGCTTGAGAGAAGCATGTACACTCATTTTAAAGATTTTGATTTGATTGCAGCACTCAAAAGTGACACTATCATGACCAGATCCCTTAAATTCACCACTGATTAAGTGTATCTCATTTGTTTTCCTGGTCCTTGTCTAGCAACAGCTCAATGGTGACAGCTGCTGCTGCTGCTGCGGGCAAGGTCTATGAGCATTCTTAACTAAGTGCCAAGTCCTGTTCCTTTCAAGTGAGCAGCATTTTCCTGACAGCTTTTATTTTAGCATTTGTCCAAACAAGATTTTCTTTAGGCTAATGTTTGCTGACTAGTTTAGCTCAATGAATCTGGTATTTCCTCACTTTAATTTCATATCCTTTATCCTTTTTACTAAACTTCTCTCTGTGCAGTATGATTTTCTAAGACAAACTATACTTCATTCCTGAATGCTGGCCCATTCAATATAATAACTAATAGTGGCTAGTACCAAAGACGCAGTAAGGGCAAAAAAATCCCACGTGTACAAACCTAGCCACAAAGGAAATTCTTCCTTTTTCCTTGCAGCCAGCAGTTGCTTTATATGTTGATGAACAAGCCTTCTTTTCCTATCCTGTTTTGAATAACTTCAGATCTCATCATTATGCACTTTTTCTTGTGTTGCACCATGCCTAACCCTCTGAGGCCTGTGAGTAACCTACTAAAATCTTTGTGATTTCAGAGTCATCCAATATGCCCTGGCTCCCTGGGACCCAAAAAACCCCTAAGCTCTGGAAGTAAGTCACATGACAGGGATCCCCTTGCTCTGGTGTACTACGGAGCTGACATGAGCTGGGCTTGCCCAGATGTGTAGCTGGGTCTGGAAGGGACCCAGCAAGGTGAGCTGTGTCGGGCCCTTGCTTTCTCCCACCACACACTGCTCTGTCACTGCACTCAGGGTAACAGGATTTATCAAAATATTTTCTTAAATCTAGTTTGATAGAACTTTCCCCTTAAGTATTTACTGAACCCACTGAATTACTTTCATGGGATGTTCAAAAGCATTCAGTAGGTTTGGGAGCACAAATCATCTTGTTGCTCAATAGTATTGCATTTTTACCTGCTGCCATTTCAGTCCTTCAATAGCTATCCTCATACATTCTTCTCTTACTTCACTAGCTACTTATAGGATGTAAAGCCTATTATTAGTGATTTTTAAAGCTCTTTGACGGTAAATATTAATTGGAACCTGCCACTTGCTTCAGTGACTCTCCCCAGATTACAGCACAACCTGCTGAGACCCCCAGAGGTGCCCATAATGTAAATCCAGTAGCAGCTCCCTTGAGAACCTGACATTTTTCCTGCCCTGATTTCAACTAAGGGGTTGAGGGAGGACATGAGGAGAAAGAATGACAGGGACGACAAAAAAAAAAAACAACCTGGCAGTGTCCCAAACCAGGATATGGACATTACACTCTCCTTGGAAGCAGGCATATCAATTACTGCATAACAGCCCTACAGCCACAGTCCTCGCCCAAGGTGAAGAAAATGGACCTGAAGGAGAGTGAGTGTAATAGTCCATGTGCCTCCATCAAACCAGAAGATCAGAAACTTTCTTATCAGAAACCACATATTCACAAAGACTGCATGTGTCACAGCAGGCAAGAGCTATGTGACCCCAAACATCTGCAAATGGTATCCCAAACTCTTCACAGGGTTTTAAGCTGACCAGGCTCCTGAAGCTGAGGACTGAGTAAGCACTGCCTGAATGCACTAAAATAAGGTGCTCAGCTGGATGGTTCCTGGAGGTGTCAGCTGCAAAAGAGGAATAATTGTCCTTGTACAGTAGTTCCTAAAAAGATTGGTCTTTCGGATAAAAGAAATTAAGAGGACTAATACATGGCATTAACGTCAGGATTTAAAGTACCATGCTCATGCCTAGTGCAACCAATTTCAAAGGCATGTAATGACATGACTGTTTCATTATAGACATGTGTATTAGTGACAGCTGGAATTAAGGTCACCTAAGTATTCCCATTCCTACTCCCTGCTTTCAATTATCCATAATTAGCTTCCTAAAACTTTCACACTGCTATTGAAATTTTGTCCACTTAGACAGGAGATTTTTCCAACTTTTGGAGAGAAAATCAAGTTTGGAGAGAAAA